GAAAACATTACACACACTACATACCATGTATTTGACGCACACACGCATGCATACTATTTATTGTCAAACTTTTGTTCTTGACACTGAAGTACTTGACGTCTGTGGTCAAATTGAGAATAGATTAAATATTGTTTGTCTTTGTTAATATTTTTTTTATAGAGTAGCCTTGGCGAAATTTGTGATTATAGAAGTATAAAATAAAATCATAATAGTGTACAAACTTACAATTCCAATTAATTATAGTCGAATTTCGACTACTGCGGGACCTCTAGTTTACAATTCATACAAACGTCAAATCTTTGTTTTTATGAAAGAACAAAGATTTGAAATCATCATTATCATATTATTATCATTTGAAATCGTTCAATGCTTTCCATCAACAAGAATAATATACCTTATCACGTACGCTTAAACATTAAAGTGCATTAGCAAATCATCGCGTCCAAATCGCTTAGAAGTCTTAAAGTTTATTTGTACAAATATAATAATTACTTAGTATACCAAAATATTATTAACGTAAGTACTTAAAAATATAAATACGTACATATTGGTACAGTAATTTCTAATCTTAATTTTGTAAATGTAAATTTTAGGCTACTTTTTTTAGACTAGCTTCGCCCCGCGGTACGACAATAACCGCGGGTAACATCGCGGGACTCAGCTATCTATCTTCTCTACATTATAAAAATGAATTGCTGTTCGTTAGTCTCGCTAAAACTCGAGAACGGCTGGACCGATTTGGCTAATTTTGGTCTTGAATTATTTGTGGAAGTCCAGGGAAGGTTTAAAAGGTAGATAAATATAAAAATGCTCGGAATTATATAAAAATAAATATTTTCTTTTTCCTTTGATGTGTCCCCCGTTGGACAGAAATTGTTTTAAGTTTATTTTATGCAAAAGCTTAAGTCTTTTATTTATCGATTGAGGCACTACGAAGTCTGCCGGGTCAGTTAGTCAATAATAAAATTTAATGTTTCCGAAGCGAAGCGAGAGCGGGTCGCTAGTACCAAATAAAAAGCATCTATAATTACAAAGATAAACGTCGCTTATTAAGCGAAATGTCGCTTAAACCAAATAATTGGCTTTACTTGTGGTAGGACCTCTTGGGAGTCCGCGCGGGTAGGTACCACCACCCTGCCTATTCCTGCCGTGAAGCAGTAATGCGTTTCGGTTTGAAGGGTGGAGCAGCCGTCGTAACTATACTTGAGACCTTAGAACTTATATCTCAAGGTAGGTGGCGCATTTACGTTGTAGATGTCTATGGGCTCCAATCATCACTTAACACCAGGTGGGCCGTGAGCTCGTCCATCCATCTAAGCAAAAACAACAACAAAAAAAAAACCTTTCACCACTCGATATTATTAAATTGACCTTAACATTCTTATCAGTAATCGATCGGGACAATCAACTAATATATTTATATTGGTTTTAAATTATTATGTTGTGTTTATTAGTGTCACCATATCGCGTCTCATCTATGTATATATTAATACGTGAAGCAAAAACTTTGTACCCTTTTTTACGAAAATATAGAAGAGTGCAGAATGCAATTTTTTTTTTTTAATTATGCATAAAAAATACTTTGAATCAATAAATAACAAAATTACACATACTACTTTTCCCATTGCATATTATCAGTAGTCAAATTGAGAATAGATTATATTGTTTATCTGTAAAATTATTTGTCTATATTGTTTATATATAGTCTTGACGAAGTCTGTGATTAAAGAAGTGTGTATAATAATGGTCCTTGACAATAGAACCATAATAATGTTAAAATTTATAATTTCAATTAATAATAATCGAATTTCGACTACTGGGGAACCATTGTATTATAACTACTGTATTGAACAAAAATTTGGCTATGAAAATTTTAATTAAATATTATTCTATCTTAAACAAGAATGTTCTTTCAATATTTAAATAGTAATTTGGAAAATTTGTTAGAGCGCGATCACGCCACACGCGTTTACTTATTCGATTCTGTACTAAAATTTATCATTTTATTAACTACTTGTATATTTATACAAATTATATTAAATATTTAACTACGACACGACGAATCAATATAAAGTACTTTAAATGGCTGTAAACAATATTAATGTGTCATAGCCGTACTAAATGACGAACATACACATACTAATACCAGTGGCTCTCAACCACAATGTAGCAAAACTTTGGGTGTCGCAAGCCCCTATCAAATTTGCTACGATGAACAAGTACTTTTTTTTCTCAGGATTTTAAAGGATACACTTGGAGAAGGCAACCTAGTTTTATTGTTCCAAATTAATGCGCGAGCTTTATAAAGGTCGGTTCAGAAAAAGATAGATTATGCAACGATTGGCCACATGTGACGTCACAAGTTATCACTGTCGCTTAGATAGATGGTTGAAAAAATTTTTTTAAGGATTTTGTTACTGTTTCAAAAAAAAAGTGAATACAAATCTATCTTAATTACTATTTAATATGTCGTTAATTTAAGGAATGGTTGATTCTGCATAGAGACAAACTTCATCTTCTGTTACTACCTTTCTAAGGGATGATATTGGAGCACTTTATTTTTTATTTTTACAAAGAAACAGCTTCCTATATACTGTATTACCCTTTTTCAACCCTCGGTGGATACAAAGGCCTTGAAACTTGAAAAGCGTCCTTCTTAGTTGTCACTTGTCCTAATATAGTATAGTAGGATTATGCTGTCAAAATTACAAATAAATAGATGTAGTCATTTGGTCAGGCTCTTAATGAACCAATTATTTGAGTACTAATTAAAAATGTAATTTATATAGCCATTGTTTTAATTATTATTATTATACATACATTTGTAATATGTATTTAATGTGAAATTAATTATTGATCCATTAAGCAGGTCCAAAGTACTGCAGACTTTGATTTTATCATATGAAAATAATGTGAGTGTGTAAGTGTTTAAATCATATCAGCCAAAAACGCATATACTAATATTTCCAAGTACCTAAAATATGTTCTTAATGAATATTAAGATAAATTAAGGGAGAGTTCCTTGTTATAATAATAAACATCCCACATTTAATATCCACAAAACTAGTTTTCTTCTGTGTTACGGGTGTGCAGGGAATTGAAACATGTCTAAATCTATGTTTCCAGCATAATATGCTGGATATAATATAGGGCTATCAAATAGAAGAGCATTTCTCCGAAGGAGATATCTTCGGTGCTAATGTCTATTTATGATACCATAAACATATTTTGGTAAAAATATTAGTTAGGAGATGTCAGAAGTTTACAGATGATACGTATTACATACACATACTGCTCGTTGTGTTAAAAATAAAAACACACAGGACCAATTTCTTCAGGTCCAGAAATTTTTGGAAATATAAATACACAGTGGTTTCTTTCACCAGACTGAAAATTTATAAAGTAAAATTTCCTAGATGCCGGAATCCAACTTAAAGATAAAACATGCACACAGTATATATCGAAGGCATTTTAGCAAACCATTTTAGTTAATCCAAAAACATAATAGTGATGTCAAGAATTAATAGCGTAGTCATTCCTGCATTGGTATGCCATTATGAAGCATTCAGTAATTGTTACATGTAACAAAATTGATACTTTAATCGATTGGTGGCATTTAGACAGTACTGCTTTTAAGCTCTGAAACAGCACCAGGAGAATATTGAGCTTATCCACCTATAACAAAACCCTCAAACTATATCCGTAATGAAATTACATTGAGACTCAACATTGTGTTGACACAACACGGACCTATATCTATTACTGACACCTTACATAATGCCTCGACCATTCGTTTTTGAGAACTTTATTTACACATTATAACTTAATGATTTACATAAAATGTAATTGTAAAAAAGTTTATGAATGTAATAAAAAGCTTAGGTTAAGTTAAGCTATTATATTGCTCAACGGCCACCAGACAACCTTGAAAGATTGATTGTGGTGGGCAAGGCAGAAGGGAAAAGACCCGCCGGCCGGCCACCAAACTGTTGGTCGGATCAGATAACTGCGCTCACTGGACTCTCTGTTACCAACGCCCTGAGAGAAGCCGAAAACCGAAGCAAATGGAAGCTGAGGGTACAAAGAGCCACGAAGGGCTTTCAAGGACACAACCTTCAGCAATGAAGTATTCGACTAAGAAGAAGAAAAAGGTTAAGCTAAGCTATGAGGTTTTAATAAGTTTATATTTCAGGCAGTCCCATGTAATTTAATTGAAATCATATTTTCTTCGGAAACTAAAAAAGAAATAAGCAGCGCCTTTGTACATAATTTTCCTATTACTCTGTACTATGTCTTCTTTTCTGTGTGTACATAAATAAAAAAAAAATAATTAATCAGTGCTACCATGTACCTATTATTAACAATCATGACAGAGTAGATTAGATTTTTTTGGGCATAACGGCTTAGTCTGTGACTTCGAAACCCTGAAGAAAATACAAACTTTTTTTTTAAATCAGTAATTTAGGTGATCAATGTACAATATAAATGAAGCCTTTAAATTATAAGGTAACATTATTAATCCACAAAGTTGTACCGAGGTAATACCAACGCTATATTTAAAAGCATTTTCCTGTATCAGTACGAATAGCACACATCACACACATAATATATTCAATATACAATCAATGTCATTTAAAAGGAAGATCGAAGTTTTATTTTGTGGGTACTGGATAAGGTATTGCTCATTTACATTAATAATTTACTGCCAATGTGTAAGTTCTGACGAAAATATCAAAAATAAACAAACTACTTTAATTTCGCTTTATAAATTACGTAAAAAATCAAATGTTAAATCGCCTTCGTATTCCCGCCATTTTTAAATTTCTCTTAAAGACATTTTATAAGTCATAATTTCAAAATAATAAAAAACATTGTGTCGGAAATTAATATTTAAACGTTACGACAAGCAGACCAAGCAGCAAGGTTGAACGCTAACGTGTTTTTGCATAAAGATGTTTGGCGAATAAAAAGTGAAGGCGCGCTTTATTTAGGACACTCACCTCGTCTCGATCAAATCAAGTAGTTTTTAAGTGTATGAAAAAAATCAAAAACGTTTATTAACACAGTTAATACACACTTAAGCACTGCAATCCATTTATTTTTGGCACTTTTACGGGCACAAGGACACACGCACGCTTCTGAGAAACTTTTTGTTTTGATAATTCTTTGCGAAGCGCGTTCGATAACAAGCGGTGCGCACGGGCAAATCTAAGAATGACATCAGAGTCAGCATGTAGCGGTATGCGGGCTGCAGGGGGTTGGTGTTGCCGTGTTTTATTTTATTTTTAGGAACTCTTTTCTGTCAGATATATGGGGAATGTGGACGTTTTTGATGATTTTTACGATAATGAACTGATCCCAGATAATTAACCATAAATTTTGAATAAATTAAATTAAAAAAAATTAAAATAACAACATCGTAGGCATGCTGGAAACAGCATTTTAGCGTTAATGCAACCAAACACAAAGTAGCTTCTGCTAATAAATGTAAAATGTTGAAAACTGACCTTCGAAATATAAAATTCACAGAACAACACCATGAAAAACTAGCTTGTTCAAAATAAAATTAACATGCATTACCGAAATATGTTCTGCGTTAGCCACACATACCACATAACTATCGACTATCAAGCGGTCATGCGTCACTCACGAGCGAGACGGCTAGACCTGTGATAACAAAGGACAAAAAGAAACAGAAATAAGTACAAATTTATTCCTAGAACGATGCGAAAGTATAAACTTGTAGCGACGACCAAATAAGTCAAAGATAAACGTACTATTTCCAAGAATTACAATGCTAAAATGCACTCTAACTTCATACTATAAGTATCAAAGTTGCTATTACTATGTTATTGAATATACGAGTTATATATACTGTACTCCAGCTGATGATCTTTTATTATCACTTAAAATTAAATGCTACCAAAATTGCACATTTATTATTAAAACTTTGATTGAATTTATCATTACAGTATTCGCAACGTGCAATATTAAATACTCTATAAAGTTTACAGAATTAGATTTCTCTTGCATAGAATAAACCCCAAAATGAAAACATAAATTTTAACAGTTCATTTCGCCTATACACACACACACATTCACAGATTTGAATGCTCACGTCCTTACGGATCCATCAGATCTAATAAATAATAACCTTTACTTTAGACGCCTTCAGCTCCAACAATAGGAGCCGGCTTAGGGACCCCGGTAACCGTACTCGTCGAACTCGACAAAGAGTTCTATGTGCAACTTAACCCATGCATCAGCTCGCTGAACTTTTCGCCGGATCTTTTCAATTCCTCACAGCGGGTCGCGATTCCGATCCGGTAGTAGATTCATTCGCAAAGCAACTGCTCTTGAGTTGTTAGGTCTCCTTCGGAGGCGCTCGGGCAAAGCAAATCCCCACCCACCTTGTCTGAGCCCTTGCTCACTCACCTGTCCTGGTGAAACTGGAAAGGCCTCCGGGCCACTAGTAACTTTTCAACCCTAAAAAAAAATTTGAAAGCCCCTAAAATTAATTTTACGATAATTCTAATATTTAATAGTATCATGCCTGTAGCATATCTTAATGTATCACAATGCATGTTTAAAATATCTAACTACGACATACCTAGTACATACATAAAAATAATGTAGGATGATAAGACGTATGTAGTATTTTTTTGTTGCTATATCATTATGAATGGATGATCCGCCAGATTTTTAAATATAATTATGAGATTGAGCAGTCTGTCTTTCCGTACTCTATGGTATTAAAAGTGGACGCGCCCATAGAGCTTCTTATTTTTTTTATACTATAGATGAACAAGAAGTAAAGCTCAATGTTGATGTTAATCAAAACGAATATCAATCCTTTGTTTTAAGCATCCGCAGAAGGTGGTATTCCGGCATTCAGAGCACTATCACTAGTATTTTAAGGGTATGATCGTTTAAGAACACTAGTATAATTTCATTCTGTGTATTTCGCTGACTTTGACAGATGAACTCCCGAGTTACCTGCTGATAAGTTGCCAAATACCTAGGTCTTTACAACGCAGATGCGTTTCCACTCACATCGATACTTGGGGCTCAAGTATCCATAAAGAGCTGGGCAGGGCTCCGTTTGCAGAATTACCGCATAAACTTGATCAGATAGGGCTAACAGCGACTTTTATATGTGTGACGGATTTCGAGGTCAAAACGAGGTATGCGCTAACCTTGAAATGAAGGTGACGATGTGTTATATGGTGTATCTGTTCCCACGATTTTCGCTACGGTGATTGATTTAAATGACACAAAAATATTGATTCGATTTAGATTGATTTGCGCCTTCTACCGAGAACTCATCGCTTCACCGCAGAAATTGGCCAGATGGTAGGGCGATCTAACAATTCACTATGCCACAGACGAATAGCTAGTATTATAATACTTAAACGATCAATTTCATGAGGCAATTGATATTTCGTCTTCAGTTTTTTTTTTACGAGAAACATCTACCTGATTAGGTTAGTCTGTGCACTGTGCCATTTATAATATTTGTCTGTGCGTTCACTAGAGATGTGCCTACTTGAGAAAGATGCTAGAAGGACAAAATTGAGAAAACTCCCTTTTATAAATTTGTTTTTCCATCTAACTCTATAACGTGGTAATTACCTTTAAAATATCACTAGGTAGGATTGAAATTTTGCAAAACATAAAAACATGAATTTTTAAAAATACTGTATTTAAAATAGGAGAATAAACAGTAACAATTGGCAATTGTAAGTCTAGTAAAAAAGGCTCAAACTAACAACCATATGAGTCGACTATTATCAAAGCCGGCAATGTGACTTTTGGACAATTATTGGTAAATCAGAAAAACGAATTATTGACTTTGTATTCCATTGGCAGTCACAAAACTCTTCTGAACGACATCTTAGATAAATAACAGGTTAACTATTAACCTTTATTTAATGCAGGTTTTGAACCGTATTCTTTGAAGGAGACGATTATATTCAAATCAATCTGTATTGACATATCAATATTTTTTTTGGTCCAAATGCACAGATTGCCACCTTTGATAATAGACGACTCATATATAATAACTTTTGTGACAACTTATCATGAACACAGACAACTAGACTTGAGTTGTTCTTTTCAATTATCGGGGGTAGAAGTGAGGAGCACCACCGCGGTGTATTAAAAAGTGTCAGCTGAAAGGGAGCCAATTAAGGTGGCGCCACAGTGGCAAGTGCAAGGATTTTAAAAACAGCGCCATAAACTATTATGACAGGTTACTAAATTAAGAAAGAATGAAACACTTACTACGTAAATAGTAATAAAAATAAATAGTTGAGATTTTAAATACTGCATAATATTTTTAACTACACAAGTCACGAAAAATATTAAATTTCTCAACCCAGCACACTTCACTCTGTTTATAACTGCTGTATTTGTATAATTTCCACTCCTACCGTCATTTCAGTGAGTATTCCAAAAATAGCTTGCTGTTTACAGGTGGACACTTTTGCAACTTAGGAGGACAACAATAGGAGGACTCCTATACCAACGGTTGGAGAACCGGGGTAAAATGAAATATTGGGGGGTAAAAATGAAACTTTTGTGAGTAAAAATATATACTATTGAAGTGAAACTTCTTTAGAATCGTAAAATTTTTTGTTATTGTTTTCTTTTCTAAATTATCATGGGGGCTATAATATGAAAGATGCTAAAAAGAAGCGATTTCGTTTTTTTTTGTTCTTCGGCATGGGATAATATCAACTTACACAAAAATATTTTGGGGTAATAATTAAAAAAGTTCCCCGACCGCTGCCCTATACAAATAGGTATTTCGACTATGCATATTTTAAATCTTGGATTCAAGATGGCAACTGACAAATATTTTTGACTGTTACAAAAATTTATGACTGTTACAAAAATTTACAAGATCGACACGTTCTCTAATACGTATAATAGGCGTTTTAATTGAGTCACGTACAAGACGATTGATTTTTTCAATATTTTTTTTACCACTCTTAAATTCAAGGCTATTGTGAAAATCAGAAATGAATCAGTTTGTTAATACTTTCTCTAGCCTATCGAAATGACTGTGAATACAAACTCAACAAAAAAAAAAACGCGCCTACCAATTTTTCGCGGCTTATTTTTTGTTGTCAATGTCTAATTGGTTTACAATAGTATGAATAAATGTAATAAGTGCTGTGGTGAATCTAATTGTTAAAAAAAAGGATTTTTAAATTGATACTTAAGTAGGTATATTATAACTAACAGTACATTTAAAATAATTTGAACGAAAAAATAAAAACATGGCCGTCAGTCAACGTAATATTAAATGTAATTATTCCTCGGGCGGGAGTTTTTGGGGTCATCGCTTTATTGAATCAAGCAGAATGAGACCGAGATCGAAAAATATTAGCATTATTTCCAGGTAAGTGTTTCGATAATGTTATTTATTGCTGAATTAAATTTGAATTGACGTAATACTCAGCCGTCATTTGTCGATTAAGCGGACATTATAATGGAAACTTCATAATCTAGGTATATATTAATACGTGAAGCAAAAACTTTGTATCCCTTTTTACGAAAATTGCGCGGACGGAGGAGGATGAAATTTTCCACACTTATAGAGAATATAGAGAAGAAGTGCACAATGCTAATATTTTTTTAAAATAATGTTTATCAGATACAATCAATAAAGAAAACATTACACACACTACATACCATGTATTTGACGCACACACGCATGCATACTATTTATTGTCAACACATTGTCAAACTCTTGTTCATGACGTCTCTTGTCAAATTGAGAATAGATTAAATATTGTTTGTCTTTGTTAATATATTTTTATAGTGTAATCTTGGCGAAATTTGTGATTATAGAAGTATAAAATACAATAATAATAGTGTACATACTTATTTTAATGATAATTTAATTATAGTCGAATTTCGACCACAGCGGGACCTCTACCTATTTATTAATATCATAATTATGGTTATTGAATCGAGAGTCAGCTGTATTAGATGTATTCGCGAAGTAATTGCCCCTGATCTGATAGGTCTCCTTCGGAGGCGCTCGGGCCTCTGTTATCAAATCTCACCTCGCACGACAGACTGCAAAAAGGCATCAGTGTGCTTAGTGCGAGTTTTTTAACGTTATCGATAGTTTAAAAGTTTGTATGCAGTTGAAACAGCGCCCCTAGCACCAAACACCCCGCCATGACCTACCTATGCAAGCGTAGTGTTCGCTCCAATTCATTCAATCCCGTTTTTGCAGGATAGCCGTCGGAGCTCCGTGGTTCGTCAGGAACGTCGACCTCCATGACGACCTGGACTTAGAGTCCATCAGTAAGTATCTACAGTCAGCATCGATGCGCCACTTCGATAAAGCGGCACGACACGAGAACCCTCTCATCATAGCCGCCGGTAACTACATTCCGATCCTGCGGACAGAATGGAAAGCAGTCGACATCGCCCCAAACACGTCATTTCGAATCCTCCCGATCCACTAACGGTGCTTCTAGGTATCTCAAGCACCGGTCATCGTTCTCGTCGAACCCGTCGCTTGCGACGAAGGGCTCGACGAGTAAATTAACCCTCAGTTACAGCCCACTGAGTTTCTAGGGTTCGTGTTAGCAACGTCGTCAGGTTGGAGCCCCGCGAGCTCACCTACTAGTTAAGGCCTCACAACACAACGTAGGTAGGAAAAAAAAAGCCCCAAACATTCCGACTCCATACAAATTAGATTTAACTTTTACGTGATCGATAACGTTAAAAAACTCGCACTAAACACACGGGACCACCAGTAATCCTTCATTCCTAAAAATAATGCCGTTGATATGAATTTAAAACTATAATTATTAAGTTTAAAAAAAAACGAATTATTGTTAATGATGTGTTTTTTCCTGTTTAGACTGGAGCATTATTAGCTGACGTGTTTAAGTGATTATTGGAGTTGATAGACATCACAGTGTAAATGCCAGGTCTTGGGGGCGTCTTGTGAGTCTCCACGAGTAGGTAACACCTCCTCAAAGGTCTATTTTTGCCGTGAAGCAGTAACGCGTTTCAGTTTGAAGGGCGGGGCAGCCGTTGTACTGTAATAACCGAGAGAACTCTCAAGGTGGGTCGCGGCATTTACGTTGTAGATGTCTATGAGCTACGGTAACCCCTTAACATCAGGTCGGCCGTGAGCTCGTCCATCTATCTAAGCAATAAACGAATAAAAAGGCAACGAATGTATTTCGATTCCACTCGATCGATGACACCTCAACGGGCTGTGAGCTCGTCCGTCATCTGGGAAATAAATAAGTAAGAACGCACGGTCACCCGGACGGTCATCCCCAATTTATGATTCCCTTTTTTATGTATACCAAAAACTGTCGAAGATTCTTATATACATTTATATATATATATATATATATATATAGATAATAATCACCCAGACGAAGAGCAAACCTGTTCATTACAGAATGTTTGCCCGACGTGGGAATCGAACCCACGACCCTCGACGCATCAGTCAGCCGCTAACTACTGCATCATTTCGTCAATGTATCAGTTTTGGTGCAACAAATTAAATAAATAAAATAATTTTTAGTGGAGCTATCCTATTAAAAGTGTACATTCGACGCATCAGTGTAATACATGTGTATTTAACACATCGGAAAGGACTCGACTTAAGGCCATTAGGCCCATCTTAAAGGGGTCTTTGGTAAAGGAAAACCACACACTTTGATAATACGTTTATTATCTAGGCAACACAATTACATTTTTTTTCTTCCCGGTACAAAACCGGGGCTTTTTATGTATGCTGATTAAAGTTAAACAAAGAGAAAGTTATCGTTAAAATCGTTCGAAGTCATTAAGTAAGATTTAAAATCTTAAACACTACAAGGAATACTCCAAGTCGTGTTTAGTTGTATTAAACACCGATATTCTTACGGAGATGGTAAGGAATATCGAATATGTTTTCGAAGCAAAGGCATATTTTTCCTTGACCAGGCTTGTGTAAAAGTCTGTTCACGCCTGAATGATGACTCCTGGAAACACTAGACGAAGTGGAGGAAGCGTCCGATGTACTTGAACCGCCCGAGGTAGAAGAACTGCCTGAAGTGGTTGTGCTTGCCCCGGACGTGCTTGAGGTGGAATCAGTGCTGCTGGCACTGTCGGTGCTCGTCTTATCGGTTGTGGATGACTGTACGGTAACGCTTTTGTGATCGGGTCCTAATTTCCTTCTATTCCACCACCAGAAACCGTCTTCTAATGACGCGGCGTCGCTTTTGGCGGTTGACGCTGTAATATATAAAACCAACACATTATACGTTTTCAAAGACGTATTCATTTTGACTATTCTAATTCAGCGTGATTTCAATTGCTGCTTATTGGAATATGAATTCATTCAAGGGACATGTAAACAATGGCCCAGTATCTCATTAATGGCTCAGTCTCTACATTAAAAATAATGGCTTCCTCTTGGACTTTATGATATAACAGTACCATATTTTGAAAACAGGTTATAACCTTTCAAATTAACTTGCTGGGGCTAGTGTTGTAGGCTAGTACCAATTGAGTTTTAGGCCTGCTACTGGTTAACAGAACAAAAGTGTTTTGGTAATAAACGAACTAGCTGTTAATCGCTGCTTCGTCCGCGTGATCAATGTAAAATGTCAGAGTATTTTCCCGGGTAATGAGATGGTTTACTGGATAAAAGGTAGCCTATGTCACTCTCCTGACGTAAAATTATTTATTACTTTACAAAAAATCATGTTGTTTCGTTTCGCCGTGAAAGAAAAGGACAAATAAATAAACACACTGTCACATTTGCAGTATTAAGCAGAGATTGGCTATGACAGTAGACCTGCTAACACTTCCACTGACAACAATTTCGGTCACAATTCCAGATCACTAATGAGGAGCAACCAATGCGTAAACCTATTTTCCCTAGATACTTTGTAACGGCTGGACCTATTTCGGTGGAATTTTAAGGATATCTTCGGATTTACCTAGAGAGTGATCGCGCGAAGTTCGGTAGTGCCCAAATTTAAATAAAATAAAATTAAAGTTTATTGAAATGGAAAAATAGATAGATCCAGTTTGAGTTGACAGTGATTAAAAAGAGAAAGTAACGTGATTTTTTAGAGTACCTGAGCTGGAAGAAGCTCCTCCACTTGTGCTGGAACCGTCGGTGGATGTTACGCTTCCATCATGGCTACTGGAACTATATCCTTCAGTGCTGCTACCAGCGGACGTGGTGGATTCTTCTGTGGTGCTTGCATCAGTGTTACTGGAACTGCCAGTGGCCGATACACTTCCATCACGATTGCTTGAGCTATATCCATAAGTGCTGCTACCGCCGGATGTACTGGATCCTGTAAGGTCTGTGCTTGCATCAGTGTTACTGGAACTGCCGGTGGATGATACACTTCCATCACGACTGTTGGAACTGTATCCATAAGTGCTGCTACCGCCCGATGTACTGGATCCTGCAAGGTCTGTGCTTGCATCAGTGTTACTGGAACTGCCGGTGGATGATACACTTCCATCACGACTGTCGGAACTGTATCCATAAGTGCTGCTACCGCCGGATGTACTGGATCCTGCAAGGTCTGTGCTTGCATCAGTGTTACTGGAACTGCCGGTGGATGATACACTTCCATCACCACAGTCGGAACTGTATCCATAAGTGCTGCTACCGCCGGATGTACTGGATCCTGCCAGGTCTGTGCTTGCATCAGTGTTACTGGAACTGCCGGTGGATGATACACTTCCATCACGACTGTCGGAACTGTATCCATAAGTGCTGCTACCGCCGGATGTACTGGATCCTGTAAGGTCTGTGCTTGCATCAGTGTTACTGGAACTGCCGGTGGATGATACACTTCCATCACGACTGTCGGAACTGTATCCATAAGTGCTGCTACCGCCGGATGTACTGGATCCTGTAAGGTCTGTGCTTGCATCAGTGTTACTGGAACTGCCGGTGGATGATACACTTCCATCACGACTGTTGGAACTGTATCCATAAGTGCTGCTACCACCGGATGTACTGGATCCCGCGCTGTTTGAGTTTGAATCAGTGTTACTGGAACTGCCGGTGGATGATACACTTCCATCACGACTGTTGGAACTGTATCCATAAGTGCTGCTACCACCGGATGTACTGGATCCCGCGCTGTTTGAGTTTGAATCAGTGTTACTGGAACTGCCGGTGGATGATACACTTCCATCACGACTGTTGGAACTGTATCCATAAGTGCTGCTACCGCCGGATGTACTAGATCCTACGCTGTTTGAGCTTGCATCAGTTGTGCTGGAACTGCCGGTGGATGATACGCGTCCACCACGATGCCTGGAGCTATATCCGTAAGTGCTGCTACCGCCGGATGTACTGGATCCTGCACTCTTTGTGCTTGAATCAGTGTTGCTGGAACTGCCGGTGGATGATACACTTCCACCACGATGGCTAGAGCTATATCCATAAGTGCTGCTACCGCCAGATGTACTGGATCCTGCATTCTTTGTGCTTGAATCAGTGTTGCTGGAACTGCCGGTGGATGATACGCTTCCACCACGATGGCTGGAGCTATATCCATAAGTGCTGCTACCGCCCGATGTACGGGATCCTGCACTTTTTGAGCTTGAATCGGTGTTACTGGTACTGCCAGTGGACGAAACGGTTCCTTGATGAACGCGGGCATTACTTCCAGAAGTGCTGCTACCGCTGGATTGAGATGAACCACCAACATTGGAGCCAGAGCTGCTAGAACTTGCTGATGAAGAGGAGCTGCTTGATCGTCTAGGATTCCACCACCAGGTGTAAGAATCAGCACTGCCGTCTGCACCACTGATTGTAGTAGCTGTAATTTTTTTTTGTGTAATTATTCGAAACATTGGGTGTGTTACAATTATTTGTAGTTAGAAGTTATGTTTATGCTAAGTTACTTATGCGTCATACCGTAGAACACTACTCTATTCTAAATATTCCATTCTACTGTTAACATTCTCCACCGGCTGTGTACACAAAGCACTATTAATTTGTGGACACGGGCAGTAAAAAAAGATGTGTGGTGTCGTGGGACACCGGATAGGAACGAAGTTCCCAATTATAAAAATATTAATTTAAAGTTCTATTCGAGGTATGAAGAAAGAGAGAGAGAGACAGACAGACAGACAGAGAAACATGCGATGCCGCACAGCTTACAATAGCTTACTATAGCAAAAAGTGTCGTGACAACTTTTCGTAAGAATTTATAGCAAAAAGTGTCGTGACAACTTTTCGTAAGAATTTTTTCCGTCTAGCCCCCTTTCACAACGCGCGATAAGGAACTTCGTTCCAATAAATTAAACAGGACTGTGTGCTTAGGGCGAGTTTTTTTAACGTTCTCGATCGCGTAAAAGTTAACTCCAATTCGTATGGAGTTGAAACAGGTTCCCTTCGTTTGCCGCCAGGGGCGCTGTTTCAATTTCACACAAATTTGAGTTAGCTTTACGCGATCGACGCGACGAATTTAACAAACAACCTTAGTCGACGGTATTCTCGGGAAATACTAAGTAAGTGATCGAATACTTAAAATGATCCAAACGAAATTAAAAAAACGACAAAGTAATTTTAGTTTTGCACTCTTCTGAACAAAAGAGGTCTATGAACATATTGAACTGATAGTTTTTGATTTTTGTACATAGAGTACTTTTTTTCCTCCTATCTATTCGCTGGTAGTCTAAGGGGCTATTTGTTCCAAGGTATCTAGGAGGCAGTTCCTGCCCGTGTGTCAGAAATGTTAAAAACTGAAGGGCTATTCCAGCTATGCCCGGACGGGTAGGTGAGCTCACGGGCTCAACCTGAGATTTTTTTTAACTAGCCCTAACAAGAGCAGTACTTCGCAGAATCTACCACCGGATCGGAATCGCGACCCCCTGAGAAGAATCGCCGATAAACTCGGTGGGTTGTGTACAATACTTCTTCTCAGTCGCTTGCATTCTTGGCCGAGTGATCGTGGTCACTGGTCATCATTTCGGGTGGTGATTATTTGTCATATCTACTCGGGTCTATCGGAACCAATTCATAGTAAAAAAGGCTTTTTCTGTCGTATTCAATTTGGGCGGGAGTACGAGGGCGAGTTCTCGATTGGCGATCGTGCTCTGAAAAACGTAGATTGGGTAGACCTCCCATGAGTTTGAACGACAACTGCTAAAGGTTGTGGGAATACGCTAGATGCCGGGCTGCGTAGGACCGGTCTTTGCGGCGAAACTTTGGGGATACTTGTATAGCAGTGGACGTCGGTGGGCTAATGATGATGATGGAGGCAACCCCCTTATGGGGTTGTTTCAGAGACTCAATAAAATTAAACTTCACCTTTTTACTGTAACGTAATTGTTGGATTGAAAGTATGCAATCCTTACACAGCATAAGTTTCAAAAAATGCGGTCGTGTCTTTCCCAAAAATACCAAAGTTTGAAGTAATATTGGGTATTTTCTTGATAATCCCTTACACATTAAGATTGTTATTCGACAATCACAAAATCTACCTTGAGTGGATGATGAAGCTTCAGACTTTGTGGCGCCGCCTGCCGCTCTTTGTGCCTTATTGTCTGAATTCCACCACCAGCCTAAATTGCCAAGATCAATATCCACCTCGGAAGAGTCTTCACTTAGTGCTGGAAAGAAATGAAACGTAATTTTTAATGATTGCTATAATGGATGAACTGACGAACTCACGGCCCACTTGGTGTTTAGCGGTCACCGGCGCTCATAGATATCAACGACGTAAATTCCGCCACCCACCCTTGACACATGAGTTTTAAGTCTCAGTTTTTCAGTACAACGGCTGCCGAAACGTATTATTGCTACACGGTATAAGTAGGCAGGGTTTATTAAAGCTATTGATTTTTCGATTACAATTATCTAGTACGGGATTGTTATTGTCTATATTCCACGATGTTATTTTCACCGTGAAAGTAATTCGTGAAAATATGTTAATTGCTTATTTCATTCGATAAATTGGCACATGCCTGCGGGATTCGAACATCGACACCGCTAGTAACGAATGCACCGTGTCTTATCCCGTAGGCCATGTCGACTTCATAAGTGAAAATAAAGCTGTCCAAAACAGTCTCAAAATTACGGATTGGTTTTCGGTATCCGTGAAATTACTTGCACAATATAAGCTGCAATGTTTTAATTTTGATAAGGAGTTCGGTATCGTACGGTAATCTGATCAGCTGAGAGACATTCAATCAGATAGGGTCTCTCTCAAGACTTTAGCGGAACTTCTCAGTTAATCGAAGGAATATCCGGCCGCTTCGGTAAAAATGTTGCATGATTTTGCATTTTCTAATTGCCGATACAAAAATGAGTCATATGGATTCATGTATAACTTTAAAAATGGTAAAATGAATACAGAGCTTAGACAGTATTTAAATTACATAAAATATGATAGATAACATTATTTCCTACGTCGATCCCAGTTGGTAATTTGTCACTGTTTACAAATTTGTATAATTAGCTAAACATCCACAGATTAGAAGTCCCGTTAGCTCACCTATTCGCTCGGTGACGCTAACATAATCCTCTAAAGCTACCAACTCAGGTAGGATAAAAAGAAAGCTAAAGTTTTTTCAAATACAATACAGGTACCTATGGTAAGTATGTCAGGAGTACTAGTTGCTGATGCTATACTACCGCCAGATGATGCCAAACCGTGGCTGGCACCATGAGTGTTGCTACTGCCAGATGTACTGGATCCTGCGCTGTTTGAGTTTGAATCAGTGTTACTGGAACTGCCAGTGGATGATACACTTCCATCACGACTGTTGGAACTGTATCCATAAGTGCTGCTACCGCCAGATGTACTGGATCCTGCGCTGTTTGAGTTTGAATCAGTGTTACTGGAACTGCCGGTGGATGATACACTTCCATCACGACTGTTGGAGCTGTATCCATAAGTGCTGCTACCGCCAGATGTACTGGATCCTGCGCTGTTTGAGTTTGAATCAGTGTTACTGGAACTGCCGGTGGATGATACACTTCCATCACCACTGTTGGAGCTGTATCCATAAGTGCTGCTACCACCGGATGTACTGGATCCTGCGCTGCTTGAGTTTGAATCAGTGTTACTGGAACTGCCGGTGGTCGATACATTTTCATCACGACTCTTGGAACTGTCTTCATGAGAGCTGCTACCGTCGGATTTCCTGGATCCTACGCTGTTTGAATTCGAATCAGTGTTACTGGAACTGCCGGTAGATGATACACTTCCATCATGACTGTTGGAACTGTATCCATAAGTGCTGCTACCGCCCGATGTACTGGATCCGGCGCTGTTTGAGTTTGAATCAGTGTTACTGGAACTGCCGGTGGATGATACACTTCCATCACGACTGTTAGAGCTGTATCCATAAGTGCTGCTACCGCCAGATGTACTGGATCCTGCGCTGTTTGAGTTTGAATCAGTGTTACTGGAACTGCCGGTGGTCGATACATTTTCATCACGACTCTTGGAACTGTCTTCATGAGAGCTGCTACCGCCGGATTTCCTGGTTTCTACACTGTTTGAATTTGAATCAGTGTTACTGGAACTGTCGGTGGTCGATACAGTTTCATCACGACTCTTGGAACTGTCTTCATGAGAGCTGCTACCGCCGGATTTCCTGGATCCTACGCTGTTTGAGTTTGAATCAGTGTTACTGGAACTGCCGGTGGATGATACACTTCCATCACGACTGTTGGAGCTGTATCCATAAGTGCTGCTACCGCCAGAAGTACTGGATCCTGCGCTGTTTGAGTTTGAATCGGTGTTACTGGAACTGCCGGTGGATGATACACTTCCATCACGACTGTTGGAACTGTATCCATAAGTGCTGCTACCGCCAGATGTACTGGATCCTGCGCTGTTTGAGTTTGAATCGGTGTTACTGGAACTGCCGGTGGTCGATACATTTTCATCACGACTCTTGGAACTGTCTTCATGAGAGCTGCTACCGCCGGATTTCCTGGTTTCTACACTGTTTGAATTCGAATCAGTGTTACTGGAACTGCCGGTGGTCGATACACTTCCATCACGACTGTTGGAACTGTATCCATAAGTGCTGCTACCGCCGGATGTACTGGATCCTGCGTTGCTTGAGTTTGAATCAGTGTTACTGGAACTGCCGGTGGATGATACACTTCCATCACGACTGTTGGAACTGTATCCATAAGTGCTGCTACCGCCAGATGTACTGGATCCCGCGCTGTTTGAGTTTGAATCAGTGTTGCTAGAAGCGTCGGTTGATGAAGCAGCCCTAGAGCTCGAGGATGAGGATTCTTCTGCTTTAAATTTCAAAAAGGAATAGCTTTAAGTTTATCGTCAGTTCTCTGGTCTATGAATGTGGACAGATTATAAATGATATGACTTGTGATCGTATGATTGCTGATGACATGTGGTGACGTAATATCACAAGTACCTGAACGGTGCCCTGTAGGCTGTGGTCGTTCCGTTGAACCTTTTGATTGAATTGGTATTGGTATTGGCTTAGGAACAGAGCGAGCGCCTGAGTATTTTCTTCTGAAGAAGGGTATATCACGGCCTGGACCGGTCCATATGGAGAGTGGACGTGGACCTAAAGCGCAATACCGATTTGATCATGACTAAAGCTATTCCCCAATATTCCTGTTTATCACGATACAGAAGGAAGCTATTCAAATATTAATAAAAAACAAATCAAAAAAACTCTTGAGGAATGTCTAACTAAAACATAATTTACACCTGCTGTAGAACCGAGGAAGCGCTGTAGATGCGCCTTCTTAGGTTAATTAGATGCCGGACACCCAAGAGTTCACAACGCAATACCAACGATGTGCTTTGAGAAAAGAATTGTCATTCTTTGCCTTCTTTAAGAGAATCTTTTTCATTTGTCGTAGGATTTAAAGGCGTATGTCAGGCCTGTGGCCGATTAATTCGTGTTCGCTTCATAAAACGCTAATGAACTTACTCGATGAACTGCTGCTGCTGCTATAGCTTGCAGACTCCTGAGATGACCGCGAAGAACTTGATTGGGACGCGGATTTCTCTATAAAACGTACGCTAAATAAATTACTTCCGAAATTTCGATAGTAATACCTAATACCCGACATATAGTCATTTACCGGATTTTTCCTACCCTCAAGACTTAGATAATAATTGAGATTTTTGACATTTTAACTTAATATCTTAATAGCATTGTCGATCTTGTATTTCGTTAAGTAGACATCATATCTACTGTACCTATTCAATACCTTTAACTATTGATTACTTCATGCCTGTTGTACTTTCTGTACCGAATGCGCAATGCAGTTTCATTTGTCTTTAATTAAACGACATTATTGTATCTTCATCAACGTTTATCTTACCGACTGGTATAACTTTCATTATGATTACAGGCTTGCCATCTTCAATTTTCTGGTAAGATACAACATCGAACAATTCCTCTTCTTCGCCTGTTTCTGGAAAACCGATATTTATAAAACGTTACATCGGTTTTTCCGCGACACCATTATGGTTTATGGTTCGTTTTCGGTATGTTAATGGATGTGAATAGATACGATTTTGGCGATACGATTAATTAGAGCATGAAACACTCAGACGAAGTCCTGTTAATGAGTGTCGGTATGGAACGAATGGCGAATGAAGATCGACACGCTGATAAGGATGTTAAGCCAAAATGTCAAAGCGATGACTGTACTAATGAGAATGAAGCTCTGAACCCAATGAAACCTGATACGAAATGTTTCTTTGCGCACCGGTTCCCCGGTTAACGTGAAGTTAAAAATCGCATATAATAATACTTTATGGTTAACCTGAGAGGTGAGGAAGCATGAAGTTAATTATTAAAAACTAATCATTTCTTATTAATCATTCAAAATGTAAGTCATGAAGAAATGTTTGTATTCCAAATTTTGGTTACTTCAAAGGACGCTTTTATTTTATTTACAGTGTTTGTGATTTTTTATGATTGAAAGATTACTGGTGGCCTGGAGGCCTTTCCAGTTTCACCAGGATAGGTGGGCGAGCAAAGGCTCAGCCTGGTTGGGATTAGCTAACAGTTTCCCGAGCGCCTCCGAAAGAGTCCTGGTGGTAGGACCTCTTGTGAGTCCGCACGAGTAGGTACCACCACCCCGCCTATTTCTGCCGTGCAGCAATAATGCGTTTCGGCTTGAAAGGTGGGGCAGCCGTAGTAACTATACTGAGACCTTAGAACTTAGATCTCAAGGTGGGTGGCGCATTTACGTTGTAGAAGTCTATGGTCTCCAGTAACTTAACACTTGGGCTGTGAGCTCGTCCACCCATCTAAGCAAAAAATAACAGCTCAAAAAAAATAACAACTGCTTCACGAATGCATCTGCTACCGGATCCGAATCTTCTCGTGCTTATTACGTTATTTAGTAATTTAAGTAGCCTCAAAGCGGCGTGTTAAAATAAGCTCTAGTTAGAAAGATACCGTCTTCGGAGCCCAAGCACTGAAAATATTCGATTACATGGAAAACTAACTGAAACCTAATATCTGTAGCAATAAAAAGCTTAGTCTTCTTGTGGTTTTCGAACAAGCGAACACGACAAATAAATGAAAAGTGACGGCGTTTTTGGTATTGTGCACACGAAGTATGAGTGTCAATAAAAAAAAGATGACGTCATCATTTCATTTGTAAACACAATCGCTTTGAGATTTATATCTACCCGCGGATCGAATTACGATAAAGGCTCTTCCTGCGGGCATTGTAGCTGTTAGACCGCCGTGGAGACATGCCGATAGCAATCGTATTTATAATGATGGCCCCTTATGAAACAAATTAATAGAAATGAACTACTGTGGTAACAGCTTATCTTGTTAGATAAAAGGGTCTTGCTTAGGAAGGCATCAAGAAGGTAAGATAAGCTATTCCCATAAATAGGTACTAAGAAGCGATTCTTAATATAAATAAAAAAAATATATTATAACCTAGCAGGCTAAGCATGAAAAAACCGTTGTATTGATTTGGTCCATTAAATGCCTTAAACGAACAAGAGTGAATAAAGGCTGGTCTTTATCTATCTACCAGTCTCACCGACGGACATAGGTCTACTCCAAGCCTCGTCGTAATGACCGGTCCTATGCTGTCTGTACCCAGCGAAATCCCGCAACCTTCAACAGATCGTAGGTTTGCCTTGCGTATCCACCATTCATCTTCCGGTACGCGCAGTAGCGGATTTACTCTAAGATTTACCCTAAGGCCAGATTTAGGGACGGCCCCAATCGTGTCAAAAAACATACTTTTACCCACACTTCGCACCCGCACTTGCGATAACAAGTAGCTCCGTACAAATTAATTGTGTTTAATTAGATATTCAAATATTTAACTCGCAATTATGTGTTGAAAGTTGATAACACTCGTGTATAAGTTATCATAACCAAGTATGCCAAGTTGGCAGAGTATGTTAGAGCAAATAACTAGTTGTAAGAACTCATGTACCATATTCTTGCGAAATAAAACTAATTTTTTTTCCTAAATTTCTAAATCTATTTAAATAAAAGTTGGCAATAAAGCAATTTCATTATGTAGTCTATATGGTGGATGCTGAGAAAGGGGCGGTTGGTGGCTTGGGGCCTAGGGCGGCCGAGACTGCGAATCCGCTACTGGGTACGCGGACGCAACTCTAGAGCTTTTTGGCCATTGCGGTCATATTTTCTACTTCACTTCTACTTCCATATTCACTACCAATTAGCCCACTGAGTTTCTCGCCGCATCCTCTCAGTGGGTCGCATTTCCGATCCGGTGGTAGATTCTGCGAAGCACGGCTCTTGCTAGGATTCGTGTTAGCAACGTCATCAGGTTTGAGCCCTGTGAGCTCACCTACTAGTTAAGGCGAAGCGGACATAGCCTCTTAAGGCTATCAGATTATATAGAAAAAAAAAACTACCGCTTAAACCTCGCAATCCTTTTGGCCGTGTCAGTTATCATGGTTCTGCTACGAATCTCCTCATTCCTGATCCGATCTAGCAAGGAAACTCTGAGCATAATCCTCCATAGTTCTTTGGGTGACTTTGATCGCTATGTTAAGGCCCACCCACACTGACCGACCGTGTCTCAGTCTCGTCTTTATTTCGTGTTCCACTTATTTAAGTTAGAGTCTTACTTATTGCGTTTTTATATTACTTTCAACCGTTGTATATTTTTGTGTGAACGAACCAAATAGAACATACACATAGCGTACTTCATTTGATCAGATGAGATGTTTCAATGTAATTTTCAGCAAAAACAAGTAGTAATCAAAATCCGATTAGTAATCAAAATAATTTTCACACATATCGAGAACCGATTTTATAATCGTACATACATTAATATTATTAGTTTGGTCTAATGTCAAAATGTTGTATTAGTTGAAATATGCATGTAGCACTGCCGATTTCGGTCATTGATTGTTAAAGAACAAATGTAATATGCAGAAAAAAAACATTTTTAACATATATGTGTGATGCCGTGTAGGTCACCGGTGCCCTACGTGACGCACTACAGTAATTATTCCCATTTCTGTTACTAAGCACCTGGATAGCCTAACTTTATCTTCTCTTGTTTGTCAATGTACGTTTTTGTCTTTTAGGTCTCTTAGAAATACGATTCATTCTCAGTATCGTTCGGATTCGTCTTTTCCAGAGTCTACTACATATTCCGGCGCCTTAGAAACTGAATACGAAATAATTGCTTCAGTGCGCCGCGTAGGGCACCGGTGACCTATACGGCAGGCAAAGGTTAACTGACTAATACTGTGGCGGAAAAAGCAGACATATAAATAGCGTAATGAAGAAAGTGCATGCCATGAAGAAAAGGTTTCATATGCTTGGTATATCTTAATCTTATTGGTACATCTAAAGCACCCAGAAGAGAAGCAAGATTTGTTTAAAATCCCAAAAGTAGGTAGTTACTGCTGATTCGAAATACAAGTTTTAATTTTAATTTAAATGCGGGTAATTTATCATTATTCCCATTAATCTATGTATGTGTAGATTTATCGACTTCATACACAATAATGACTTGTGTTATCAATAAATTAAAAGAGCAAACACGATTAACCTCTAATAACGAATGAAACAAACCGATGTCTTTTGTTAAAAGCCAATGATCGGAAAAACATCGCGTTCATTATAACTGTTTGAACAGATGGCGACGAGTTACTTAATAATATTAAAACGATGATAAATGAGACCATGATAATTTATAATTGATTATGTGTTTTGTGTCGCATTTAATACTCACCATCGCTCTGAACGTTACTATTGGATGATTTGGTATCCTCCGCTGATGATTCGCGACTAGCAGAAGTTCCATCTGAAGTTTCTACGACGTTATTCGAAGAACTAAATCTGGATTTTTCAGTATTTGTACTGGAGGAAAAACCGTCCTTGTCAGCGCGGTAACTCGACGATTTCTGGTTCTGACTGCCCCTACTACCAGAGCTATGGGCAACTATATTTTTATCACTGTAGCCCCTGTCGTAACTCTTGCTGGTCTGGTCCGAAGCGGCAGAGTCAGAGCGAACGGAGTTTTGGTCGGCATAGTTCGTATTACTTTGTCGTGAGGTCTTTTCGCTGTCCTTGTTTGAGTAAGCAACGGTGCCGTCTCGTCCGACGTACGCATCAGATTTGCTGCGTTTGTCGTTCGAGTATTGCCTATCCTTACTGCTTACAGAGGTGCCCTCTGGCCCGGAGGAGATTTGAGCGCTGCTCTGTTTTAACTGTTTCGAAGAAGAACGATCATTCGCGGCGCGTATTTGATCTTTATCAGCGTAGATGGTAGAGCTTGCCTTCTTTTTGTTAGAAATTGAACTGTCTCGCGTACCAGCGTTGTAGCTTCCATCCGGACTGGAGTTATAATAAGCGTCGCTCTCTTGTGAATGAGATGATCTTGAAGATTTCGCTTGTCCTCCAATAGAATCTTTAGTGCGGTAAACAAATACATTATCATTTTTCGAGGAAGAAGCACTACGGTCACTTAATCCAGCGGACTCTGAGCCGTCACTATCTCTGTTGTAATAGGCATTGCTTCTCCTAGAAGAATCTGCACGTGAATCGTCTTTAGAAGCAGCAGTGATGTCTTTATCGGAGTAGTAATTGGCTTGGCGGCGTCTAGAACTAGCGGAACCACTTCGATCAGCGCTAACTCCGTAAGAACCGTCAGCGTTCCAATTGGCCTGAGCATTCTGTTGGGCGGATCGGTTTTCATCGCGAGCGTCACTGGAAGCGGCCACTGCTTGACCGTCAGAGACGTAATTTACATTTCTCTCTCTCAGGCTGCTGTCGCGAGATTGTCCGGCAGAAGCAGATCCGCCGTTCGGATCACTGTGATAATCGGCATAAGCTTGCTTGGAATCTTTATAGTTCTGAGACCTTCCGCTGTATGACACGCCTTCTGGACCAGATGTATATTTGCTTTTATCCTGACTCTGCTCTACGGACTTGGCACGGCGCGCTCCGGCACTTATCGAATCATTATCTTTGTTGAGGTAAGAGCTTTCACTGCTAGCTGCATTGTACTTTCGGTTTTTGACTTCGACTGTATCTCGATTGCCGGCTGCGAATCAATATAAGATTAATGAAGACAGAGGCATTAATTTCACATTTGCGTGTTACCATGTTCGTGTGGTCTGCTGTTTGTTTGTATGTTCCAGGCGAGTCTGTGGTTTTGCTTTGTGTTTTAGCGTTCTTGGCGTATCTTGTGCGTGGATCCAGTAGTGTACTCCTCTTGTGTGGGTCCGTGAAAACGCTTAGTCAATTTGTGAATTTAAAATATGAAATGTGATTGTGAACATCATGTGCCATTAGGACATCCTCGTCTCTGCTATTACGTAACAGGTTTATGGAAGAAGACGTTGCTATCTTCAGCTACGTCGCCACTTACTAAAAATGTTCAACAAACAGAATGACATCAGTTACTTTTTCAATTGCCTTCCGTCTCTATTGCTGCCGCTTCTTGTCATGTTAACCAAACCAGAATATCCGATGTGCGGAAAAGCGACTGGGAGTGTATAGTTGATTTGTACGTCATTTGTGGTGTGTAAGCGTGAGGAAATTCATAATTGTGCCTCTTTTCGTTAAGTTCAATATTCTTGTCACAAAAGAAGAGTGTTTTTTTCTGAATGTGTATACAGTTTAGTCGGTCCAAGTGTTTCTGGGTTCTGGTGAGCTCGTGTGATACACCGTGTCGGGAGCTATCGTAAAAGACAGATATCTGATAGATGCCTGAACTTCGCTAATGACATTTTCAAGATAAGCTCGCGTATATACAAGTTCCGAACAATAATATCGACGCTTGAAAGGCAAACGTGACTAAGCGACAATAACTGCTTTGTACCTAAATGATAGACAATAACCATATTCGATGCGCAAAAAATATATATATATCTAGGTCTCTATTAAAATCATTTCAATCCTACAGCTACTAGCTAGATTCTACTACAGCTAGATTCGTTAAAATAAATTTTGTTTTCAGGTATTTCGACTTTAAATTAGTCTACTGTAAAATTCACGCATTGTCGCTTAGTCACGTTTGCCTTTCAAGCGTCGATATGTATTTAGATGGTCTGTCTACTGAGTATTTTCAGCCGCCCGACGGAAGATCTTCCTTCTGTCGTTATCTCCCAATGCGTTAACACCTTACGTATTTATGCGGTAAAGGTTAAATAGATCAGGCGCGTATTTAAATCCGAGACCGGATAAGAGGACCGGTGCATTCGTATCGAGCGATGCAACGGTGTTCGAATCCCGCAGGCGGGTACCAATTTTTCTAATGAAATACGTACTTAACAAATGTTCACGATTGACTTCCGCGGTGAAGGAATAACATCGTGTAATAAAAATCAAATCCGCAAAATTATAACAGTTGTAACTATACTGAGACCTTAAAAAAATATTTCTCAAGGTGGGTGGCGCGTTGTAGATGTCTATAGGCTCCGGTAATCACTTAACACCAGGTGGGCTGTGAGCTCGTCCACACATTTAAGCAATAAAAAAAAATTAAAATTGCCTGTGTTTGTCGCACCTACATGAAGTGTATCCACGAACGTTTGAGCTATTTGTAAGGTATTGTGTTGTTGTTATACAAAATGTTTTTAGTTAAATTATAATATTATGAAGACAATGTGTGTGTACAATAGCCTTATCATATCGAGGATTGAAATGTTTAAGCGACATTTTTGCAAAGATACAAGAGAGCCATTTAAAGTTTAAACATTTGGAAAGAATATAATGACAAAAAAAACTTCTTTCGCTATTTGAGTGGGGTAAACGTAATGGAAGTTCAATTAAAAACGTCGAACTGTTGTTGCTAATAAAACAGACCTTTAATTACAAAGATAAATGACGCTTAAACCAGATAGCATTCCACCCCATTTTACTGGTGGTAGGACGTCTTGTGAGTCCGCGCGGGTCGGTACCATCGCCCTGCCTATTTCTGCCGTGAAGTAGTAATGCGTTTCGGTTAGAAGGGTGGGGCAGCCGTTGTAACTATACTTGAGACCTTAGAACTTATATCTCAAGGTGGGTGGCGCATTTACATTGTGGATGTCTATGGGCTCCAGTAACCACTTAACACGAGGAGGGCTGTGAGCTCGTCCACCAAAAAAAAATCCAGTCGATATGAGTTTTCTTAGTTGCGACACTGTATTCCGAAGCGGCGGTATGTCGATTTAGATTTTCACATGAAGACTTTTGTTTTTTGTAGAAGTAACCTTTTGTTTAGTTCGAAAGCTTATTAAATCCATTTTGCTGTTATGTTCAATAAAAAAATGCATTATGATTAATGAAAACCCATTTTGGAAATTCGACATCTTATTATATAACTTTTCAAATTTTATTTTCAAGAAATGTTTTATGACAAAAATTTGTTGGTCTTTCGATGAGATAACGCAGTCTCCTCCTTTATCTGATATATTCACCTCTATTATTAAGGACGATAAGGGTCATTAATCTCTAGATATATAATCATAATAACCTTACATTATTTTTAAATTTGGACGTTCTGCTAATTCTCGCCCTAACTTTCCTATCCAAGAAATATTCTTCGCATAGACAATTAAAATCAGGCAGCACGTAAAATATCCAAAATCAAATCATAATACATAAATATATAGTAATATCCCATATATAGAACCATATATATTTAAATCATTGCGATATAATTGCTAAGTCCTGCGTGAAAAAAAATACTGTTTATCTTTTGTGTATTAGCACTGTTTAGGTTAGAGTTATGTAAAAAGGATGCATTCTGAGAAGTTTCTGTAAGGGTTTTGCGGGAATAATGTGTCATAAGGAATACTCACGGTGGTGACCGAAAGCTTTTACGCTGAGCGCCTGAAAAATAAATAAAAAATTCATTAATATATATGTTGTGCTTTACAATATATCGAGGGGTGTCTATTTTAAGCGACATTTTTGCAACTTTACAGGGAAGCCATTTAAAGTTGAAAATATGAAAAAAAACATATTCTTAAGTTATTTGAATGGGGTAAACTTAATTCAAATTTTTTTTTTTGCTTCGTTGACTGGACGAACTCACAGCCCACCTGGTGTTAAGTGATTACTGGAGCCCATAGACATCTACACCGTAAATGCGCCATCCACCTTGAGATATAAGTTCTAAGGTCTCAAATATAGTTACAACGGCTGCCCTACCCTTCAAACCGAAACGCATTAGAGCTTCACGGCAGAAATAGGCAGGGTGGGGGTACCTACCCGTGCGAACTCACAAGACATCCTACCTAAGAACATCGAAATGTTGATACTAATCACTACATAGTATAAAACAAAGTCGCTTTCTCTGTCCCTATATCTGTCTGTCCCTATGTATGCTTAAATCTTTAAAACTACGCAACGGATTTTGATGCGGTTTTTTTTAATAGATAGAGCGATTGAAGAAGAATGTTTATATGTATAATAACATCCATTGAATAGTGGAGAAATCAATAATAAATTACAGTTTCCGTAGCGAAGCGAGGGCGGGTCGCTAGTATCAAATAAAATGGACCTTTAATTAAAGATAAATACTATTAAGCTTATACCAAATTGCTTTTCACCCCTCGTTAAGTTAGTGGAAATTGTTCACAAGAACATCATTTTGACATCGAGGTGATGATGATTAAAAAAAAAGACTAAACCAACAGAGTCAAACCAAATTGCTCCCAGAGCGATAGGTAAGCAATCAAACAGAGAAAGAAAAAGACGAATCAGATTAACGATAATCATATAGTTATGCTAGTGAATTTATAACTAACTAGGATAACATAGTCACTAGAGCCGATTAAACCAAATATTGATGTATCGTCTTCCTGGAAACAAAGAGTCTAAGAACGACTGCCTCATTCTTAAAAATCAGGAATGTTATGATAAATTTTTGGGATACCATTGGACTGGTGGTAAGACCTCTTGTGGGTCCGCACGGGTAGGTACCACCACCCTGCCTATTTCTGCCGTGAAGCAGTTAATGCGTTTCGGTTTGAAGGGCGGGGCAGCCGTTGTTACTATACTGAGACCTTAGAACTTATATCTCAAGGTGGGTGGCGCATTTACGTCGTAGATGTCTAAGGGCTCCAGTAACCACTTAACACCAGGTGGGCTGTGAGATTGCCCACCCATCTAAGCAATAAATTAAATTAAATTACGTTCGAATAAATGTCTTCGTTTAGCAAAATACCCTCAAAATGCCCAGGATATTTGATTGCCATAAACGAAGCGGCTGTCAATTATGACCACAATCATCAGCTCCTAATCGTTCCCTGCTAGACATAGGCCTCTCCCAAATCGCCACACTAAGCCCGGTCTTCGACTTTCGCAAGCCAGCACTTGGTCAGGAGGCGTCCCACGCTACGTTTGCCGGCACGCGGTTTCCACTCAAGAGCCCGTCTACTCCAACGATCGTTGGTTCTGCGGTATTCATGTCCAGCGCAAGCCCATAAAAGCTGCTTATGACCAAGTGGATTGTTATTACATGAAAAATCACTATTTTCCCAAGCTATTAAAAGTATTAAAGCATAATTTAATATAGATTAGTGAAGCGACTCATAATTATATTTTTTCTAGATAACTCTGAAGTTCGTTTCAAAACTGGTACCTATAAGTTAAAAATAATAAACTAGTTGAATCAAAATTTACATATCGATTGGTACACAGTATTTAACTCGTTGTTATACAAATTACATTCGATGGATTCTAGTAATGCGTAGGGAATGCAGACCGAAGAAACTACTCAAAGAGTAAAATGAAAAATTCTGAACCAACCACCCAAAATCTAGATGATTTGCTGCTAACCGCCAGTCCTTCTATAGATATTAGTGGACAGAAAGATTTTGTGGCAACTTTTGAATAACTCTGATATTTTCGCGAAGCGTTTAAAAGTATAATCGGAGACGACCTGTGAACTTTTAAATTGCAGAAACTCCCAAGTTAAATCGAGTGATTTTCGGGTAGTCGCTAAATGGCTGTTGGGGGATAGAAATAGCTTACGCTAAAACAGTCGTATTTGGTGAACTTCAGAGCTTTGAAAGCTTTAATTTGAAGGCATATCTAAGAGTGTTCTTAGTAAATACGTCATTGTTGATAACGAAGCAATGATACTCACAGCCAACGCAATCAAAGTGCAGCACAGAACGAAACGCATGTTGGCGGTCTTTGGATCGCTTGATCCTTAGAGACCCGATGATAAAACGACTATGCCAAAGTTGTTGGGCCAACGCGTTTTATACGAAAACGAAGTTTGATCAAGCTTACGTAGAGAGTAATAAATTTTCGCTTCAAACATTTGTGCAAACAATGTATACAAGTTATTGTTTTTGTTCAACAAACGTTCACTCTGTAAATGGTTTTATTTTGTTTGCCTATTTTATGTTATTAATTGATTTCTAATTTATTCATGGCTCGTTGAGACCCGCTTGACATTTGTGCAGTATTTGATGCTCTGTTTTTTTTTTAAAGAGAATTATTAAAATTTTTGATGTTCGATACTTCTCGTATTACGAATTTCGGGTGCTAATTGTGAACACGTACGTCTATTATGGCGGAATAAGCGCCTAAGCCAGTGGTCGGAAACCCGCGTCTCTCTAGCCACATGCGGCTCTTCGACTTATCGGTTAAGGATCTTAAGCGAAATGTTACGTCCAATCACGGAATATTACTTATTATCTTGCCTTGTAAAAGACTTGACAAAGGCTATAAACAATACACGAATAATATTTGGATAAATTTCTATTGTGTTAACTATATTTGGCTCTATTGGTTAACAAGGTTTCTGACCGCTTATGCTTTTACAAGTGGAACGTTGCTTTGAGATATCGAAGTGATAGCTAATTTCACCCCTTTAACTGGGATTCCGATCGAACTGAGATCCGGCGCTTAATGCTGGATCAGCGAATTTAAGTACACAGGTTCAGCGGATGGTCTTCACGATAGTTCTAATCCAGCGATTTCCTCTCAACACCCCAAAGAAGGTTTGTTTTCTCTCTACATTTTGCGACTAGCTCACTATGTTAGTGTACCGATGTTATTATTTCAAAAATGTTTTATTGCTGTTGACAGCTGTGAGCACTTAGTTAATGCAGAAAACCACGTTGAGGTTAAAGATACGATATTAATTGCATTAAAACATCAATTGGTTGGCCGTTCAAATCACGTTACTAATGGGGCGCGAGTTTGTATAGTGGTACTGGTTTCCAAGACGGCCTGCAATCGATAAATAGCAGGTAAGGAATTAGGAAGGAGATTATAAGAGAGTACCTTTACTAGGACCACATGATATAGAAGGATCAGCAACACAAAGGTACTTCTTTAACTTCTATAGCTCCTAAGAAACTCTTACAGTCTGGGCTAGATGTAGCTAAGAATTCTAATAAGGTTGTCGGAGGACTGATTTGTAAATATGCCCAGGCTAGATCCAGTATTAAGGTACTGCAAGGAGATAGAAGAAAACGTTAATTACGAGGCTGCTGTATCTAAGAAAGGTTTTTAAAGAAAAAAAGAAATCAACAAAAGGTTTAGTAGAAAACTGGTTATGGCCTGATAAGCCCACAGCCCCACTGCTCTCTGAAGTAATGATTAGATTATTGATTTAATTCGTTCAATTATATTAGTAAAACGTTTTTTGCATTGAAAACAACTAAGTTGTCCAGGGGAGGTGAATACAATTGATTGTTTTTTTTAACATTTTTTTTATTACCCTTGTAGACAGACGAGCATACGGCCCACCTGATGGTGAGTGGCTACCGTCGCCCATGGACTTCAGCAATGCCAGGGGCAGAGCCAAGCCGCTGCCTACCGCTTGTGTAATGTCTTTAGAGCTGCAGTTGTCGAAAGTAAAAAATGGACCCCTCGGGCCGTTTGTTTCGATAAAGCTTAGCACGAAATACTAAGGTGGAAGATAGACATGATAATCTTTATTAAGGACAACGCTATCAGAGCGATTCCGATAAGAAAAAAAAAAAAACTTAGGTATATTTTGCCATTAATTCGTCACATTTGTCTGCAAGGCAATTCTCGTTTATCCAGGATTATTATAATATTGGTCATGATAAAAAAAAAATTAAACTACCTTTGGAAATGATTTCACCTTAGTATATAGAATAAGTTTGCATGAAAAAAAGATATTTCCGAAAATCCAGTGGTTAATTTTAAATTAAAAAAAAGCCTTCTCTCTCTCTCTCTCTCTCTCTCTCTCTACCTTGTTAAATAATATATTGTAATTGTCATCACGTCATTGTTTTGTTTTTCTGTTACAGTCCTTACTGTCCAAGCGACCAGGCTAACTATTCATAGTCTACACAGCCAAGCTTTGAGTATGCAAATACAATATAATTTCCATTATTGAAATGTTAAGTTGTGTACTGTTTTTGGTGTATAAACTTGGCTTTATTTAGCGAATACATTTTCTTCGAAATACTGCTGTATTCAAGGATTCTTAAAAATGTAATAAAATACAATAATATTTGACAGAAGAAAAAAAAAGGTGCACGTGAAAGAAGTGACACTTCTTTTGTGATGTGTAGTATTGTGGTTTTCTTCATTTTTCATCTTTAAATCAAATTTCTCTTGTAATAGGGTATGCTGTGTATAAGAGAAACGACCTAGCTCGCTTGGTCCTTTCCCTCTCTCCACGGTCGAATGGCTCGCGAGACGCTCTGTCTGTTTTCTCACTCTCACTCTTCCTAAATTGTATCTTTTCTCTCTAGCCAAAAGAAGTTTCACTTCAAAAACTACATAAGTAGATAAAAGTTTGATCCTTTGCTAATAACAGTAAGCCACTGTAATTTTTATTTAAATTTTATCGATTCGCTTAGTGAGCTAAATGTTTTTTTTTATTTTTACATTTAACAAATGTCCGCCCAAAAATATTAGACGCTTTGTTTAACATAACCGCTACAGACAGACAGTCAAACCGCAAAGATTAATAAAGTGAAATTTAAGTAACGTCTAAGGCAAAAATAAACAATATTCAAATTGATTTTATTATTCGTATGGGTCAAGCATAATTCTGGACGTTGCAGCGTTGTGACGTAATTCGATCGATACATATCGACAGCTGATAAAAATTTCCATTATATCATTAAGAATGCACTGACCCGCATCTATAATAACTTGTTTACCGTATTTTGTTTAAACAAAGCATAAATAATTAATAACAAAGGCGTTGGAAACCATAAAGAAAACTTTATAAACATTAGACTAAAACAAACCTTTCAAACATTATTAATGCGCTCAAACAATTAAATGAGAAATAATAGACAATATTAAATATTGCACACGTTTTTTTTACAATGTTTATCTGTGAATATTTATTGTATTAAAATGAATTATGTGAAAGGAACGTTTTTATTTATTTATTGCTTAGATGTAGTGGTTACTGGAGCCCGTGGACATCTACAACGTAAATGCGCCTCCCACCTTGAGATATAAGTTCTAAGATCTCAGTATAGTTACAACGGCTGCCCCGCCCTTCAAACCGAAACGCATTACTGCTTCACGGCAGAAATAGGCGGGGTGGTGGTACCTACCTGTGCGGACTCATAAGAGGTCCTACCACCAGTAATTACGCAAATTATAATTTCGCGGGTTTGATTTTATTACACGATATTATACCTTCACTATGGAAGTCAATCGTGAACATTTGTGAAGTACGTATTTCATTAGAAAAATTGGTAGCTGCTTGCGGGATTCGAACACCGTTGCAACCCCGGCAACGGCTCGTCGAACTCGGCAAAGAGTTCGACAAGCGGCGTACTGTGGCCGAGATGCCTGAATCTCGCTTACGACATTTTCAAGATAAAGCACATATATACAAGTTCCGAACAACAACATTCGGACCGTCGGTCTACCGAGCAATATCACCCGCTCGGTGGAAGATCTTTCCCTACGTCGATTAGGCTTACTAAAGTACCTACTCGCGCGGACTCACAAGAGGTCCTACCACCAGTAGCCATGGATGTGCCTGTGAGACAGGATCTTATAGCTGGATATAGGATCTGAAGAATTCCTGAAAAAATTATCAAACCTGTCTAGCCATTTTGGAGTATACGGACAACATCACTGATCAACTTTACCTCAAGCACCGTTCACCGTCCTCGCCGAATCCGTCGCTTGCGGCGAAGGGCTCGACGAGTAAATTAACTCATAGATACTTCGATACTTTATTTCGTTTCTCAGTCAGGCGAGAAATATTGAATCAACTTATTTGCTGTATCATTTATATTGCCCAATAGATCCTTTCTTTACCTGAGTTCTAGCCGCATTTTAAGAAGGTCATAACAAAATTATCTCCGCAGACACACTGTTGATAAAGGCTCTTAGTAATGCTTTTTATAATCTCAAATAGTTCATAGCATTCGCCATACAGGATAGAACATAGAGGTTAATCTATGGATATACAGAAGCTCTAAACGATATGTGAGGAAGGGACTGTCAATGGTTTGATCAGCCCTTTTCTTCGTGAACTCCAAATACAACTTACTCATTGAGTTAATTCAGAACAATTATCAGCCACATAATTATCTTCATTGCAAATTACGCTAGAGAGACCATCTGATCGTTATTGGGCAGATGCTGAGGCCCACTTCTTCAACTCGTGTCCACCCCATGCTGAATCTAGGTCTCTTCAAACGCGCTCCATTCTTTTCGGTCTTTTTTATTTATTTATTTTTTATTACTTAGATGATGGGCCGATCTCACAGCCCACCTGGTGTTAAGTGTTTACTGGAGCCCATAGACATCTACAACGTAGACGCGCCACCCACCTTGAGATACAAGTTCTAAAGTCTCAGTATAGTTACAACGGCTACCCCACCCTTCAAACCGAAACGCATTACTGCTTCACGGCAGAAATAAGCAGGGTGGTGGTACCTATCCGCGCGGACTCACAAGTGGTCCTACCACCAGTAATTACGCAAATTATAATTTTGTGGGTTTGATTTTTATTACACGATGTTATTCCTTCACCGTGGAATTCAATTGTGAACATTTGTTGAGTACGTATTTCATAGCTTTCTGTCACGGACATCACCAACGGATGACCGAATGCAATGCAATCGTAAAAGAAAGAGCCTATGCTTATTACTTGGAAGATAAGTGGAACTTTAGTAAAATAATAACAATACATACTGCACTTCGACCTTTAGAATGAGACAATTGGCTAATTTCAACTTCGTAGAGCGCTATCTTACATGTTTCGCTTTCAAAAACTTAAACAATTAAAAGACCAGCTCCGAAACACAATATCGAACCCTTGCTGCTGTATTTTACTGGTGGTAGGACCTTTTGTGAGTCCGCACGGGTGGGTACCACCCCCCTGCCTATTTCTGCTGTAAAGCAGTAATGCGTTTCGGTTTGAAAGGCGGGGCAGCCGTTGTAACTATACTGAAACCTTAGAACTTATATCTCAAGGTGGGTGGCGCGTTTACGTTGTAGATGTCCATGGGCTCCAGTAACCACTTAACACCAGGTGGGCTGTGAGCTCGTCCACCTATGTAAGCAACAAAAAAAAATTGCATTATGACGTCTATTTTAATTATTATACTGTCTCTCTCTGGTTATGCTGTACCGAAAAGAGAAAAAATATCAATTTTACATTTTGAAAATAAATATGATAAGGGACATTTCAGGAATAAAAATCGAGAACATTATTTTGCTTTTTTCTGTTTTTTATTGCACGGATGAATTAGCTCACAGCCCACCTGGTGGTTGAGCGAGTTAAGTGGCTCCCAAAGTCGATAAATATCACGTCACGTCTAGTTAGCGACATGAGGTCCTATTTGTATAGTTTAACGGCTATTCTTATGTCATTGAGAAAAACCTAAGCAATGATCTTTTTTCTTTCTTAGGTGGGTGGAGGATCTCAGGGCCCATAGACTTCTATAACGTAAATGCCGCCACCAACCTTGAGACATGAGTTCTAAGTTTCAAGTTCAGTACAACGGCTGCCCCACACTTCAAACCGAAACGCGTTACTGCTTGATGGCAGAAAATAGGCAGAATGGTGGCACCTACCCGTGCGGGCTCACAAGACGTCCTACCACCAGTAAAAATACCAGTAGCATATGTTTATGTGCGCTTCATAAGTTATCCAAGTCACCTTAGATATAAATGAAATGTATCAAGATATAAATCATCTGTCCTATTTATGTAGTTACTCCCTCAGGAGATTTCCTGTTTGAAGAAAGGCATAGTAATAATGGAACTAAAAATTTTACTTCGTGTTTCGAAGAGGGCGGTTAAATTAGCACTGTCAAATAACAATTAAACAATATTATATAATTAATTCAAACACAGCTCAAATTTATTTACTGTCAAGAAAAACGTATTTACTTTCACCGTCTTCTTTCTGCACGTAAACTAATAAAGGATTCTTTTTTCCCTTAATCCTCTCCAGTTCCTTTAGCAGTTCTTGGCCGTTTTGTGCTAAATTTAAAATCATTATTTCAGGATTCGCATGTCCTTTAGAAACACCATCTACGTTATCCGTAGAATCGGATGCAGTTCCGGATATGTCTATTCTTTTAGAATTCAAAATCTTTGAATCGTTAAGAGGCGCTTCGATCATTTCTTTGTCGATTGAACCCAGATCATCATTTCCTGACTTATCTCCATTTACTTCTGAATCTTTTATTATGTTATCTTCTTCGATACTACGTGTTTTGGGATCTCCGTCACCGGTAACTCTATGCTCTGTGTCATCATTACTCAATTCTTTGACTACCGGCTCTTCTAATGGATCATTTTTACGCACCTTCGAAAGTTTTGAATCCTTAACTAAATCATTTTCACTTTGCTCTTTTTCACAATTCAATGCGTCATTGTTCTCTTTTCCTGATTTAAGCCTTCGATCATCGCTGTTACCTGCACCCTTATTTTTAAGATCCATAGTATTATTAAAGTTATCTAGCAACCTTTTTTCGATATTGGAGCAATCGTTGACGTAAACTTGTAATTTAACTTCTTTCTCCTCAATTTCGTCGTCAGAATGTTTTTCTATTTCAATCTTTAGTAGCGTTACATCGAAATCTTCGTGTTCCATAGCAAGATTATTTAGAAAATCAGTTACTTTGTCAACAATAACATCTATCTCTTTCTCTATCTTCGGCGTGAGTTGGAGGCAGTGATCTCCTTTGTTGCATCCATTACCTGTAATAGACGATTTTATTAATATTTCTCCGACGGCTAACCCGCAAAAGCGGGATTATAGGAATTGGAGGATTTCTACGTGCGTGCGGGCCGCGTGAGCGAACACCATACTCGCGTAAGTCATGACGGGCCTTATGCAAGTTTTGCAGTGTCACCTTGTTCCGAAGGGACATGTTACTCCGCCTGCAGGTCATGGAGTAAAGTCTGCCGAGAACAAACGCGGCACGATCGCGGGCAGATTTTATATGCGGGCGGAATGTCATGGATGCATCCAGGGTGACTCCCCAGGCACTTGACTTTCCTGGGCTAGGGTATAGGTTGGCCGAAAAGAGTGATCGGGGGTGTGATATTTCTCTTTCTAATGCGGGAGGAAATGCGCGTTGAATTTCCCCTTTGATGTCTATGCGCCATTTTCGGAACCACTGTCCGAGGGTTAACGCTGCGCTCTGGTGTTTATTCACGATTAGAGGCTTGTTTCTACTCGAGTAGTAAACGGTTGTGTCATCAGCGAATAAGCCTAACTGCGTCGACGGCGACCGGGGAATATTGTTAATAAATAAACTAAATAGGAGCGGAGATAGAACGGAGCCTTGCGGGATTCGAGCCGTGAGTAGTCGCGGAGAGGAGCGGGCTTCTTCTACTCGATATCCGGCTCGAGCCGGAAGTGCTACTAAGACTGGCCCTAGCAAGAGTAGTGCTTCGCAGAATCAAATCGGATCGGATCGGAAACGTGACCCACTGAGAAGAAGCGGCGAGAAACTCAATGGGCTGTGTCTATGTATTAATTTACTCGGCGAAACCTTCTTCGCAAGCGACGGGTTTGAGGAGGACGGTGACCGGTGCTTGAGGTACCTTAAAGCACCGTTAATGGATCGGGACGATTTGTAATGACGTGCTTAGTGCGACGTCGACTGTTTACCATTCGGTTCACAAGATCGGGTATGTAATTTCTAGCAGCCACGACAAGAGGGTTTTCGTGTCATGCCGCCTTCTCAAAGTGGCGCACGATGCCGACTGTATATACTTACTGACTGAGTCAAGCTCCAGGTCATGATGGAGATCCACGTTCTTTAGGAACCGTGGTGCTCCGACAGCTATCCAACAAAAACGGGATTGAATGACTTGAAGGGGTTTCAAGTTAGAGCGGGCCGCGTGAGCGAACACTCCACTTGCTTTGTAGAGTGTCACCTTATTACGAAGAGACAATTTACTTCGCTTGCAAATCAGGGGGCCATTCGACGATTGCACTATTATTGTTCTCTTCCAAAATCTTGTTATTATAATTAAAAATTAACTGACACCGTTGTTACGCTTTGCTCATTCAACTGTCTTCGCCATCTTGCTTTTCTCTGTCATACCGTACCCTTTCTTACCGTTTTCTCTCGCTCACATTTCAACATTCCGTTCCACGCTCTTTTCATACGTTCCGTTCTTACCAATCCTACATATGTAAAGAAAAACCTTTGTAATTTATGTAAAACCTTTAAAACTCTTTAGTTTTAAAAAAACATTTTTCAGACAGATGCGTTGACCTGTCTGTCATTGAGAAAAAAAGTGAAGTTCAATTTTACATATTTGAATCATAAAATAATAGTTTAAAAAGATATTAAAGGCTTTAAATGTTGTTTTCTTAGTATTTTACAGAAACGTAATGAAGACTTTTTTTATGTTTTTTTATTGCCCTTGTAGGCAGACGAGCATACGGCCCAACTGATGGTGAGTGGTTACCGTCGCCCATGGACTTCAGCAATGCCAGGGGCAGAGCCAAGCCGCTTCCTACCGCATATTATTGTTCAATCAGAATATGTGACATTAGGTGTGCAAATAAGTTTCCGCCGTTTTGAGAAAGATGGCGTGGCACGAGGTTTACGTTTGAATTCACAGATGATAATCGTCTTGAAAATTAAGTTGATCATTTAAGGAAAACTTGATCCTATCATATTATTGACTCCTTATTAGCATCATATATTTTTTTTATCCAAAAATGTCAAAATTTGAGCCAAATAAGCGTCAATTGCGGGAACTTTTAATTTACTTTTTTAATTAAAAAAAATCTGCAGTCGAGGCGCATCGATTGCTCGTAGAAGCATTTAATGAGGCTGCCTTGAGTGAGAGAACATGTCGTAAGTGGTTTAAAAAGTTTAAAAACGGTAATATATACATATCATATACCTACATACCTTCCTGTGAGATTCGAAAGTCACATCGCCCGAACAACAACGGTGGTTCTATTTTTTGAGTGCGACAATAATATCAAGGATCTAAGCAGAGAAGTGATTTACGAGTCTTTAAGAAACAAATCTTAATGATTGACTGATTGATAATATCATTCGCTCAGCGTAATTATAGCCCCATTCCAGGAACGAAAGTGCTAAATGATTCGTATTGTCGATCGAATCACAGTATCGTGATCTGCTCCGCTTATAACACAATACACCCCCCGCTTCGCCCAATTCTCGATATAACGAATCTTGATATTAATTTCGGATTAAGTGTCGAGAGATTGTTTTTCTTTTGCAAAGAATCGCTTCGGAGCCGTCGCCAATAAAGTGACGTGGATAGAAGTTAATATTCATTCATAATCTATATATTAATACGTGAAGTATAAACTTTATACCAGTTTTTACAAAAATTACGCGGACGGAAGAGTATGAAAGGAGACGGAAAATCATGGGCCAAAAATGTAATAACTTGGAATGTAGTCTAAAAAATTTGTCATATTTTTTTATTTAAGAATATAAAAAATCACCTCTATCCTCTTTCTGGGACCGGAGAAAAATGAGAAAGTTAGTTTTTGTCGGTATAACGGTGTGATCGATTTAATTAATCGATTACAGGATTATAAAAAGAAAAACATTGCACTAGGTAATTAATACAAAGTAATTAAATGAGCGATTTATACTTGTTGTATACAAGTGCGGTATACGCCGGATTTAATTGCGATTATATACATAAATGAAGAAAAGTATATTATTACTTAACAAAGTAATATGATTATCGATTTCAAATCGATTAAAATCGATTGTATTTTTTATGACAGCTTTGACAGTAAGCTGACATGACGTTTGTTCATAGATTATACAATTATTTTTTGGCGCTTGTTGGTTTTTTCTGCTCTACTCGTTTTGTATCTTCGACGCATTTTGAGTATGTATCTATCGGGCTGTTTTTATATTTTCAACGATCACTGCTTTATTATTACGGATTCCAACTCTGCCAGCCTTGTACGACAATTGCTTCTACACTGGACACCGAAGATCGCTCACACGTTTGACTTAAAATTGTTGCATTGGATACTATTGAAATTATGGATCGCTGTGTGAATTGTGGGATAGCAATTCCATATTCCATACCTGATATATATCATTGATATTCATTCATAATATGACATTTAAAAGAGTATCCAATGGATATAATAAACATTTACTTATGCTTAAATAAGTTATTATTCAGCTCTTTTAAAGAGATTGTAACATAACCTAACTTTTACTAAACCTTTATTAACTCGGCTCTCAGATTGAGAAAACTTTTATAATTTTCAGCAAGGTACTGATAAATCTGAATCTATTAATTCATATTAGTTTCATCACGTTACATTCAGGCCCAAAAATGTATGTAATCGTTTCAGTTTCCTTTCCCACTTTTTTTTTTTTTTTTTTTTTCCTACCTAAGCTGATAGCCCTAGCGGCTATGTCAGCGTAACCCTAACTTTAGTAGGTGAGCTCACGGGGCTCAAACCTGACGATGTTGCTAACACGAACCCTAGCAAGAGCCGTGCTTCGCAGAATCTACCACCGGATCGGAAACGCGACCCACTGAGAAGATCCGGCGAGAAACTCAGTGGGCTGTGTCTGAGAGTTAATTTACTCGTCGAGCCCTTCGTCGCAAGCGACGGGTTCGACGAGAACGGTGACCGGTGCTTGAAGTACCTAAAAGCACCGTTAGTGGATCGGGAGGATCCGAGATGACGTGTTTTGGGCGACGTCGACTGCTTTCCATTCTGTCCGCAGGATCGGGAATGTAGTTACCGGCGGCCACGATGAGAGGGTTCTCGTGTCGTGCCGCTTTATCGAAGTGGCGCATGGACGCCGACTGCAGATACTTACTGATGGACTCTAAGTCCAGGTCGTCATGGAGGTCGACATTCCTGACGAACCACGGGGCTCCGACGGCTATCCTGCAAAAACGGGATTGAATGATTTGGAAGGATTTTAAGTGTATGCGGGCCGCGTGAGCGAACACTACACTTGCATAGGTCATGACGGGGCTTATGCAAGTTTTGTAGAGTGTCAAATTTCCCACACTTATAGAGAGAATATAGAGAAGGAGCGCAAAATGATCCCCTTCCTGTACCCTGTGACCTACCCCAGGGGGACTTTGGGGAGATGTACGACAAAGGGAAGATCTTCCACCGAGCGGATGATATTGCTCGGTAGACCGACGGTCCGAATGTTGTTTGTTCGGAACTTGTATATATGCGCTTTATCTTGAAAATGTCGTAAGCGAGATTCAGGCATCTGTCAATTATCTTGCGTTGTATGATGGCTACCCACCACATCACTCCCCTCCGAGACAGGAGGTCGTGTCATTTAGTTAGCGTTGTCCGTGCTGAGATTAGCTTGCAAGTGCCAGTGCTGCTCGAAGTTTGCGGTGAGTCGAAACTGAGCTTGAATGCTGCGTGATTGTCGCCAGTGCTGCTCTAAGTCTGCGGTGAGTCGAGACTGAGCTTGAATGCTGCGCGATGAGGCAGTGTAGGTGCGTGCCGTAGGACCAGGAAGCGCGGTGAGTCGGCTGCGATGGTCCTGTTGAGGCTGAGATGCTGGCTTGCTGTGGGACGACTGTCGATGGCTTACTTTTATCTGCGAGAATGCGGGGATTGTGGTAGCCGAAGTTCTTGATGCGCTGATGACGAATCAGAAGGCTGCGATTGTTCCGTCGTAGGTCACCAGTTGTAGGAATATACGACAAAGGGAAGATCTTCCACCGAGCGGGTGATATTGCTCGGTAGACCGACGGTCCGAATGTTGTTTGTTCGGAACTTGTATATATGCGCTTTATCTTGAAAATGTCGTAAGCGAGATTCAGGCATCTGTCAATTATCTTGCGTTGTATGATGGCTACCCACCACATCGTGTCAGAAGTGGGAAATTGTCCTTCCACTTGCGCAAACCATATTGCGGGTTTTTCAGGCCAGAACGGTGGTATCCTGATGTGTGTTGAGGGTAGTTCTGTATTCGGGCACGCTGGCTCAACAGGCGACGCCATCTTGACGTGTCGACGTGGTCGTGTAGTTACCCGCGAGCGCGCCGTGTCCGATCCGCTGGATTCCGACATCTGTTTCTCCGGGGTGCTCGTAGTCGTGGTCACCAGTTTAGGGAGATGTACGACAAAGGGAAGATCTTCCACCGAGCGGATGATATTGCTCGGTAGACCGACGGTCCGAATGTTGTTTGTTCGGAACTTGTATATATGCGCTTTATCTTGAAAATGTCGTAAGCGAGATTCAGGCATCTGTCAATTATCTTGCGTTGTATGATGGCTACCCACCACAGGGACCGCCTCCCACAGGATGTGACAGAGCCGGGCTCGTCGCGCGCGTCACCTTCTTGACAAGGCTTTTTGAAAGTCGACAAACATAAGAGAAAGCGTCTAGAAATTCGCCGACTTTTCATCAGACTTACAACTAATTAATTGCTGGATTTACGCCTACCCACATGGATTCTGTGCTGCCCGAATTTGAATGAACACAATCGGCTTAGATTGATCAGGAGAAAATAACTGTAGTAACTCTGATCGATAATGCTAAGTCTAGTTGAAGTCAATTAAATATCAATTGTTGAGGAGAAAAAATGAAATCTACTAAACAAATTACTTCCAGAGCCACTGTAATTTCTAAAGGTGAGATTAATCTTGAGCGTTTGTATCTATCGGTATTTCCTGTTAAGCTATCGCGATCAAGTGTATAATGAGTGTTGGCCCATGAAATTATTGCCACATCTACATCAGTGAAATAGTTAGATAGAGACTTGAGTAAACATGAGACCTAATGGTAAAATGTTCTCGATAATTCTAGAGATGTCGTATCGATTATAAAAGCGTTGCAGGGATGTCACGAAGTTAGTTAATAATCAGATCTACTCGAAGCAAAACAGCGAACGGATTACCTGAAGCGAAGCGGAAGAAGTGAACTACGAGTTGTAAAGTATTCTGTGAGCGTTCTAAGTGTTAAATAGAGTTTTAATTTTGGTACGTCGGTAGAATTTTAATTTATCCCGAATCCCAGCGCATGACAATTATAAACACGTTGACTGCGTTATGCTGTTTTAGCAGCCCCATGCGCAATTATCGCCTGGTGCTTCAGTCAAAACCGCGTTGTATCTCACGATGCAGGAGACGGCTTTGTCCAAATTTCCATAGATATGGGTATACTTAAAAACGGGCTTATGCGAGGCCTATCAGGCCTTATACGCACTGGCTGAAAATCCCACAAAAATGTTCTCGCAGTCAACGCGTTACTCAAAATGAGACAATTGTTGTATTTTTTCTACCTACTTGCTGTTAGCCTAAAGGGCTGTTCTAGCTACGCGCGGACAGTTAGGTGAGCTCACGGGCTCAAGTTGAGAGAGGTATTGCTAACACTAGCCCTAGCAAGAGCAGTGCTTCACTGAGTCTAGAACTTGATTGGAATCGCGACCCACTGAGAAGATCCAAGAAACTCAGTTACTTGTGTCTATGTATATGGGTAGGTACCTGACCGGATTTCTCTGGTCAATACTTACACGTTATAGATGCAGTGTAGCCTTGATGAAGGATCTGAAACAACGAAAACAATTCAAGAATGTCACTCCTAATAACAGAATTCAAATCGAAAGTATTAAGAAGATTCTGGATTTAAGACCTAGGGTTTTTGGAAATTAAATTTCGGATAGGGCGTCTCGCAAACAAGGAATTTGCGGGCAGTGGCGAATCTAATCAGAGCCCTGAAACTTTAAGATTCTAAGGAAACTAGCGACATCTTGTAGCGGATGCCCAGAAACTTATGCGTTGTTAAAGTTAAGGCATTTAATTATTGTATAACTAAACACATAAAATAAAAAAATAATATATCATGCAAGTCTTTATTCATTATAGACAAATTAATTAAATTTCATCAATTTGTCGTTTCTGAAAATTAACAAAATCCTGCATTAAGAATAAAATATAGGATAGGTAATATGTTACTGTCATCTACAGGAGAAATGAGAAACTAATCGAAGCGAAGCCATCTAGTGGCCGACGCCCGTAATAATTTTTGTTGAGTGCTTGAATTGTTTATCTCTAACTAATTTATGTATATTATTTATGAATCTCAACGAGCAGCATATGCACTTGTGGAACGACACTAAGTTCAAACGATCGAAACTATATTTACCTATTTATTTTAATTATTATTTTTCTTAACAGTACAGTGCTCGGGGAAGCACTACTTACATACTGTATTCCCTTCGGCCTTCAAGAGTCATAGACGTAAAAAAAGTACGGTTACGATTTAGCTTCTTTTTTTCCTACCTATGCTGATAGCTCTTAGAGGCTATTTCAGCGTAACCTTAACTAGTAGAGCTCATGGGGCTGAAACCTGGCGACGTTCCTAACACGAACCCTAGCAAGAGCAGTGCTCCGCAGAATCTACAACCGGATCGGAAACGCGACCCACTGAGAAGATCCGGCGAGAAACTCAGTGGGCTGTGTCTGTGGGTTAATTTACTTGTCAAGCCCTTCGTCGCAAGCGACGGGTTCGACGAGAACGATGACCGGTGCTTGAGGTACCTAAAAGCACCGTTAGTGGATCGGGAGGATCCGAAAGGACGTGTCTTAGCTTCAATTCATTTTATTGTGCATTACATTATGACTATGTTCCGATTTACACCGCGTCCCTGTTCAGTGCCCTTGCTGACGAGAAATTCGTTCCGCTATGGACTAAAAGTGTACAGTCGTAGTATCTTAAGGAAATATATGACGTCATAAGCGTCGCCATTTTTCAACTGTGTCTACTGACTGCTGTTTTCGAAGCAAGGTGCTTTCAGTGCTTTGATCACGTGAACACTACTACCGCGCTTAACCTTATTTCCATAATTCACTTATTATACATTAGATTTTTTTTATTGCTTTGATGGGTGGACGTGTTCACAGCATTGTAGACATCTACAATGTAAATGCGCCACCCACCTTAAGATATTAGTTCTAAGGTCTCAGTATAGTTACAACGGCTGCCCCGCCCTTCAAACCGAAACGCATTACAGCTTCACGGCAGAAATAGGCGGAGTTGTGGTACCTACCCGTGCGAACTCAGAAGAGATTCTACCACCAGTAAAAAAGCTTAAAGGACACTGTTTTCTTTTACTACAAAAGTCTGCTAATTATTATTGTTTAAAAAAAACATTAGACACGTCGTAAATAATCAAAGGAAAGTATTTAAAAACACGAACTAAAATCGTAAAAATAGTTTTATATTGTATTTAAAAGAAGACAGAAAAAGAAATCAAAACATTAATAATACTCACATACAAAATAACGTATAGAATCAATTCCATAATTGAAAATTTCACGCATCGACGCTTTTAAGGTACCGGTCCGATCCCCCTCTAGTTAACAACTGAACAAATTTTAATGTTGTCCGAGTTATTGGTAATTAATGACCGAGGAAGCGGAACTTTTGTCAATATTTAACATAATTTAAGCTATTTTCTTCAAACAGTATCTGCTTATTTAATGGACATTTCCTTTTGATGGCCTATCGGTTTTCGAAAATCCACTATCGCAAAATGTCTGCGTTGGTAGTAATGCGCTTTGAAAGGTGTCTCATATCCCTTTCAAGCGACGGAGCAAAGCAAAGCCCCCAAATCCACTATCGGTGCTTTTAAGCTCGTCAAGCACCGGTCACTGTCGATTACGACGAAGAGTTTGACGAGCGAACTAACCCATAGATACAACTGAGATACAGCCCATTGAGTCCCTCGCCGGATCTTCTCAGTGGGTCGCCATTCTAATCCGGTAGTAGATTCAGCGAAGCACTGCTCTTGCTAGGGCCAGTCTTAGCAAATACACTCAGGTTGAGCCCGTGAGTTCATATATCGGTTCACGCGAAGTTGGAATAGGGTCGCAATTCCGATTCGATGATATATTCAGCGAAGTACTGCTCTTGCTAGGGCCATCCTTATCAATTCTCTCAGGCTGAGCCCGTGAGCTCACCTATCCGTCCGCGCGTAGCCGGAATAGCCCCTAGTCTACCAGCGAATAGGTAGAGAAAAAAAGCAAGTAGCATTTTTTTGTTATAGAAAAAATAGACGGTAGTTAGAGAACAGCATTCAAAACCGTAATGTATACTCAAACGCGGGTAATAATATCGAAGGGTGAAATGATATATTTTACCTTTAAACGAGCAATTCTTGTATGTTAATATATACCTATATAATCTGAATCTCGGAAACGGCTCCAACGATTTTCATAAAATTTAGTATACAGGGGATTTCGGGGGCGATAAATCGATCTAGCTACGATTTATTCGTGTTTTCAATAATCAACTCTTCCCGACATCTATTGGCGAATAATAATACTATTTTTCTTAATTGAGAGCAACTAATCGCTTTAAAGACACAACAAGATGGCGTTATCAAAAAAAAAACCGGGCAAAGCTCGGTCATCATCTAGTTTGGTTTAAGTGTCATTTCGCTTAACACGCGACATTTATCTTTGTAATTAAAGGTGCGTTTTATTTGGTATTAGTATGCACAGTGCGATGTTTCTAATTGAACTTCAATTAATCTTACTTTTCTTTCTTCCTTTTTCTAGTCACCTCGAGGGGCTATGTTAGATTCATCGAGTGAGTAGATGAGCTCACGGGACTCTAACCTGACGACGTTTCTAACACTGGCCCTAGCAAGAGCAGGGCTTCGCAGAATCTAACACCGGATCGGAAACGCGACCCACTGAGTAGATCCGGCGAGAAAATCAGTGGGCTGTGTCTGTGGGTTAATTTGGTCGGAACGGTGACCAGTGCTTTTGGTACCTAAAAGCACTGATAGTGAAATGCTAACTCCATTCAAATAGTTAAAGAAGTGTTTTTGTTATGATATTTTTTTCAAATTTATAGCCTTTAAATATGCAAATATATATATAAAAATAGCCTTCGATATCATCATCATCATCATTTCAGCCTATCGCCATCCACTGCTGAACATAGGCCTCTCCAATAGATTTCCAGTGCGACCGGTCCATTGCCACCTGCATCCAACGAGACCCAGCCCTTTTTACTAGGTCGTCGGTCCATCTAGTAGGTGGCCGTCCCACACTGCGCTTGCCAGTACGTGGTCGCCACTCCAGGATCTTTCTGCCCCATCGACCGTCCTCTTTCCTCCTTCGATATAATGACAATAAAAAAGGATAGATTAAACTGTGAAAATAGTTTTATTTATGTTCAAGACTCATGAAAACTGTTAAGTATATTCAATTTGTCAACAATTTTTCAACAATAATGTGAACAGACAAACGAGAAATACTTTTATATATATATCTATCTTTCATTGCGTAAATCACATAAGTACATAAGTGAATACGGCCCATTGAAAACTGTAGTATTGTTTAAAATAACGTGTGCGTAAATACGATATATTCCGAAAATTATGTGTAACATATAATGCAAATATTTATATTAGGTACAGCACTCAAGAAACAAACTTGCTACTTCGTTTTCCTTTTTACTCAAATAAGTTTTAGACTTAAATTTCAACAGCAATTTCACGAAAATTTCCTCGCAATTGGCTTATTTAAATGATCATTTAACCGACACCGTAAATATCCCTCTCCACATTGAGAAATAAGTTGGAAGTATCAGCTCGGTAATACAACGGGTACCCTTCCTTTCAAAGTAAAACGCATAACAGCTTCACGACAGAAATAGGCAGAGAGGTGCAATCTACCCTAAAAGATCAATAATTACGCAATACGCATAAAGGTGCAATCGACCCCCCAAGACAGGTAATTACGCAACAGGCAAAAAGGTGCAATCTACCCCACAAAACCAGTAATTACGCAATAGGCAGAAAGGTGCAACCTACCTCCTAAGACCAGTAATTACGCAATAGGCAAAAAGGTGCAATCTACCCCCCAAGACCAGTAATTACGCAAATCATAATTAATGTGAATTCGATTTTTATCACACAACGCTATTTATTTCATCTCGGAACTAATTGCTGAATACGAGCTAAGTGCGTATTTTACTGGTCACCATCCTCGTCGAGCCCGTGGACTACGACAAAGAGTTGGTCGTACGAACTAGCCCATAGACACAGCCCATTAAGTTCCTCACCGGATGTTCCCAGTGAATCGCGATTCTAATCCGGTAGTAGATTAGCAAAACAATGCTCTTGCTAGAGCCAGTGTTAGCAAGTCTCTCAGGTTGAGAACGTAAGCTTACCTACTGATCTACGTGAATTTGGAATAGCCCCTTAGGCTACCAACGATTAGGTAAGAAACAATGCGTATTTCATTAGAAAACATAATGTACCTGTCTGCAGGATTCAAATACCGGCACAGACGCGTCGCTCAATCCTCCTCCTTGCATCAATAATCCTCAACGCTGAAGGTGAGCCTCGTGAGTCTTTCTTGAGAAAATACACACGGTGGGGTCCTGCGTCCTTCTACGGCAGTGCTTTTGGAAGATATTCAGTTCTTCGAGGACGCTGTAGCCTTAATTGGGTCTGGCTAATTAACCGCGCTGCTCGATATTCGGCGTTGACTGTTTTACGGAGGAAAAGTCGAACTCCAACTGAACCCTCCTCTTTTCTCATCCGGACTTATATTCGCCTATAACACCGATATTCGCAGAGTCGCTCAATACGGGTCGTCTTATCTATTACGCCACGACGACTTCAAATAATTACTAGCATTCCTGAAATAGCTTTTAGATTAAATTTGAAAACGCAAACAACGAAGTATAATCCCGTTGTTACACCGTTTAATAGGGATTGTAATCGAAACAACACTATTCTCGGATTCGATCGATCTTAATTCGCGCAATTAAGAAAGGCTGCTGCGGGTCTTAATGAAGCTCGAATCGTGTTTACATTGCGCGCTACTAGCGACAAACAAAAAACACGTTAAGGAAAACAATTTCAAGATTCGAAGGGGCCATTTAATCGGTATTGTATTAGCTCTATTATTGATGTAGACACGTAATGGTACCTATCTGATTGGGTGAGAAAGACAAGGTTTTATTAGAAAATGAGGGGAACGGCGAATGTTTGGTAATATGTAGTTAATTTTTGTATGAGGGTAGTCGCTCGACGCCCGTGGAGATTCATACGTAATCTAAGATGGTAGTTGTATTTTTCTTACCTTGGTTTAATCAAGTCGAAATAAAAATCTTATTAGTTTGAAGCATCATCATCATATAGCTGTCTACTGCTCAACATAGGCCTCATCAATCTATCTCCAGTGCACCCGGTGCATTGCCACTAGGTCGACGTAAGTGGTCTCCAGTCAAGAATTTTTCTGTCCCACCGACCTTCCGATCTTCGCGCCATATGACCCACCAACTACCCTTTCAGCTTGCTAATCCTAGTTTGAAGCAATCAGCCGTTTTGTTTGCCCAATCGTAAACCCGAGAATGATTTGAAACAAAAATTCCGTAAAAAGTTTCCGAGCTTGAGTGTTTTAAAAGTAAACGTACATAAAACCGAATTCGCGGTCTACCTTGGATTCTCTGACTAATATTCGAATCGTTCTCTCTCTCTCGTTCTTTTTCAATCAGTCTCCACCCAATTCTGAGTATAAGTCTCTTCGTATGCACTCCAATCTTTTCGGTCTCTTGCCTTTCGCATCCAGTCCTTACCAGCTATTTTTACCGGGTCCTCGGTCTATCTCATTGGGTATCTGCCTACGTTACGACGTCCAGTACGAGGTCTCCTCTCCACTTCAGTATTTTTGTGCCTAAAATATAAATTGAATAAGAGATATACACAGAAGTTTCATACTTTATCAGCACCTCTCAGACTAACGCCGTAACGTGTTATGTAACGAAGCGGTATAACCTCCCATAATAAATTCTTCTTCTTCTTATCAGCCCACAGACGTCCACTGCATAGGCCTCCCGCAAGCCTCGCCACAAAGACCGGTCCTACGCTGCCTGCATCCAGCGGATCCCCGTGAACCTCGATAGATCGTGTGGTGTCGGCCTCGAAAAAGAATAACGCCTCCCCTTCTCCTCCCGTGGGTGTCGTAAGAGGCGACTTAGGGATTATCCAGAGAATGGGCAGCAGCGTTCTCCGAGTATCATAACAGCACACTGCGATCGCCGACCCGCATGCCAAGCGTGGCGATTGTGGCAAAAACATGGCTGACATAAGAAAGTATCACTTCAAAATTTTAATAATTGATTTGCGAATGCTTCGTTTATGAAACAGCTTCGATGTTGTTCTAAGAACGTTAAAGAACTAGACGAAACTTTGAAGAAGGGAATAGCTTTCAAGCACGACCTTATAAAAATAAGATACTTACCGACAAATCGGAAAATTGGTTGGGGCTAAGCGGTCACCGTAGCAATCAGCAAATTGAATACCGTTACCTTTTTTATTTTTATTTATTGCTTAGATGGGTGGACGAGCTCACAGCCTACCTGGTGTTAAGTGGTTACTGGAGCCCATAGACATCTACGACGTAAATGCGCCACCCACCTTGGGATATAAGTTCTAAGGTCTCAATAGTTACAACGGCTGCCTCACTCTTCAGACCGAAACGCATTACTGCTTCACGGCAGAAATAGGCAGGGTGGTGGTACCCAACCGCGCGGACTCACAAGAGGTCCTACCACCAGTAAAGACCTTACCTTACCCTAAGACCACGGAGGCAGTATCCACATCCATTCTTATTACAGTCCTAACTATATCACACAGCAATACCTGCCCACCCACATTCGAGTTTGAACCGTGAAGATATCCTATTCATAGCGCAGCGGGAGTACACAGCCCGACGTTACAAATGGAATACGCTAATCGTTCGTCTTTGGAATAGATTTGTATCAATTTGTAGTTAATTTGTTTAGATGGGGGAGGACAGGCGAAACTGGAGGGATCTGGGAATCATTCTCGAAAAAAGAACCCAATTTTTTTTTTATTGCCTTTGTAGGCAGACGATCATACGACCTGATGGTGAGTGGTTACCGTCGCCCATGGACTTCAGCAATGCAAGGGGCAAAGCCAAGCCGCTGCCTACCGCTTAATACTCTCCACAAGCCTTTTTTGAAGAAGGACATGTCATAGCGCTCGGGAAACACCGTGGAGGGTAGCTCATTCCATAGCCGGATGGTAAATTTGAAAAGTAAGTCATCCGCGATGGGAATTTAAGATGAATGATACCGAAATCATTCCTATTTCTGCCGCGAATCGTTGGTGCGTTACGGTCTGATGAGCAGCTTTGCTGAAAAGTCTCCTGTCAAGGATCAGGGAATAAGTAATTCAAATTTCAGCAATGAAAGGCGTATACGTTGAAGAGCTTTCTTCCTGGGGGAAGAAATCTTGTGAGTCCGCGCGGGTAGCTACCACCACCCTGCCTATTTCTGGCGTGAAGCATTAATTTCGGTTTGAAAGGTGAGGCAGCCGTTGTAACTATACTTGAGACCTTAGAACTTATATCTCAAGGACCCTGGTGGACCCTGGACCTTGGCGCATTTACGTTGTAGATGTCTATGGGAAAGATGCAAAAACAGACCGTATGATAGTATTTACTCCCGTTTTATACCTTTATACCACAATACCAATAATAATTACGTTGAATTATTTTTTAGGTTTTGCTTTTATTGTACGGTCTAAAAATTCCTAAATAGTGTGTTGAAAATTCCAAAGTCATCAGGGTTAAAGCTTAAAACTAGCTATCGATCATAAAATTCCAACCAACAAGCAAGCTAAAATCCGTTAGAGTCAATTCTTTTTTAAAAGCCAAAGGTTTCTCTTTTTAAAAGTGTGCGAAATGAAGCGATACGTAAGATAAATTCATTTTAACGTATGGTACGACTGGCCCATCTCCCCTCATTTACATACATCCCCGTTCGACTTTTCCTATATAAAGGTCTGGATTCACCACCGATGTATCACTTCGCCCTCCAACCACCGAAGGGACAACAACAAAAATGTATAAAACCAACATTGTTTTCAACGTTTTAGCTTTGGCATTGTTCAGTATTTTCTTCGCGAGTTGCACGGATATGAAGGTAATTCATAGTTTATTTTTATAAGAAAAGTTAAGTGCATGACAGAGCAAAACGGGTGCCAGTTTTTATACCAGATGATAGATGGGGTTGTGCTTTGTAACTAATATATCGGATCTTCAATGGTTTCCGGCTAGATAAAGAGATAAATCTCGTATATGAATTTCTTATCTTATTATATGCTATAAAATTTAAAAGGATTAGCAATTGGATGTGGACCTTGCACAAGAATTTTCGGAAACTGATAAACTTTATCGTAAGCTTCTTGGGATGAGGAATCATTGGTGACGCTATCTTCTTATCAACTGGTCACCTTTATAGAGCCTCTAATAAGTGCATTAGCTCATAATTTAACCCCGGCTCTGTTAAAACCTGGAACCAATAACCAAGCTTTCCTTTACGCACATCACGTTGTGATAATGCAATATGCAATCCATACTTTTTTTTTTAAATCACTAATCTGAAGTGTGTTTGTTTGTTTGTTTACGTGTTTATTTGGCCTTTGTTCACGTCGAAACGAAGCAACGAATTAGGGAGAGTGACATAGGCTACCATTTATCGCGAAAAACATCTCATTCCCACGGGAAATTGGCACCTTTCCTCAACCATGCGAGCCAAATCGCATGTATCAACTAGTAGTTTATAATCGACAGTAACCGACACTAAAATCTAATATTCCCAAGGTCGCATACGAATTTCTTCTCAGATGGTCTTGGTACCCTTTTTATTTTTGAATGGACAGAAATTGTGGTCATGGCGCCCGGTGGCCGATGTATCATAATGCGAACGCAGTCAACTATTGAGACATCGAAGGCATCAATCATACGTGGCAATCAAAGGAGGGATAGGGATATTTATCCGCACGGACTCACATTGCGTTCCAGCACCAGTAAAAGGCACTGGTGGTAGGACGTCTTGTGAGTCCGCACGGGTAGGTACCACTGCCTGTTTCTGCCGTGAAGCAGTAATACGTTTCAGTTTGGAGGGCTGGGCAGCCGTTTGTTAAAAGTGAGAACTTAGAACTCATGTCTCAAGGTGGGTGGCGGCATTTACGCTGTAGATGTCTATAGGCTCCGGTAACCAACACACACACCAGGTGGGCCGTGAGCTCGTCCACCTGTCTAAGCAATAAATAAAAAGGCAACTGGTGATCGCGTTTGGTCCTCCCACTGAATCCCCAACTCATCATCGCTTGCTGGTGCTTATGTCAGCCCTACGTTCTTAAGTTTTGAAGGTTCCTTTTAATTTTCTGTAGGATGAAAGCGACAGAGGAGCTCACAGTGAGCGGGGCGCTCTCTGGTTTGGCCCCAGACTCGGGAAGCGGTCAATGAAGCCGTCAACTGAAGATAACAGGTTGGTTTAGATTTGGAGCAATGCTGTACAGGAGTAAAACCAGACGTAGAGTTTGCATAAGACCTAGATGGAAATTGTGTTTATTGCAGGCAAACCTTCCTGAGGCTGCTCGAGGCGGCTGATGCCCTCAAATTTTACTACGACCAGCTACCTTACGAGAGGCAAGCCGATGAACCGGAAACCAAAGGTACCGATAGGAACTAAGGCAATTTCAACATAAGCTCCATACTACCATCCATACTACATCCATACTACCTGGAGCCACTGCGGTCATCCACGGTGCGTTTCCAGAGGTCTTTTTTGCCACGTACCATCCGGCTATGGAATGAGCTCCCCTCCTCGGTGTTTCCCGAGCGCTATGACATGTCCTTCTTCAAACGAGGCTTGTGGAGAGTATTAAGCAGTAGGCAGCGGCTTGGCTCTGCTCCTGGCATTGCTGAAGTCCATGGGCGACGGTAACCACTTACCATCAGGTGGGCCGTACGCTCGTCTGCCGACAAAGGCAATAATAATAAATAAATAAAAAGCTCTTCATCATCAGTCGCAAATCAGACTGTTTATTTGGTATCAGATATTTATTTATCAGTGCTCATAGATTTTTTTCACGGCCCTCATGTTTGTAAATGGTTACCGGAGCCCATAGACATTGTGACTTTGAGACATGAGTTCTAAGGTCTCAGTTTTTACAGTACAACGGCTGCCCCACCCTTCAAGCCGGAAGGCGTTACTGCTTCACGGCAGTAATAGGCAGATTGGTTAGCGGGTCTGCGAGCTCACGGCCCACTTAGCGTTAAGTGATTACCGGAGCGTATAAACAACAACATGAGTTCCGCTTTGAGGGTTGAACATATATATTACATCTCAATTATATAGTTTTTTTTTTTCAATGGATTTTATGACCCGGTAACTAAGACCTTTAGGTCATGTCTTATTTCAATTTATATTCTTATTATTATGAAAAATGATAATATGGAGTAAAATGAAACGAAATGAGATGATATGGAATCAATTATGTATATAGTGATTTTGTGCTAATTATTTTTGAGTGTCATTGCCCTAAATCATGGAAGACTTTCGTGTAGGTATGTACTATATCATGGCTTCGTTTGACAAATATATCACCCCGTATAATCTCAGAGGATGCCCTATCATTTATTTGCATTTTACTCTAATGTTTACAGGCTTTAAAAAATTCTACCATATTTTGATTAACTTGTTATGTATTAGTTAGTATACAGTAGTCATTTAGTAGTAGACAAATAGTCTTATGTGTTTTTATTTGGGTATAACGGAATCTGTGAATGTCAATTACATTGACTTTAAGACGTCTTATTTAGCTTGAAAATTCGCGGGCGCGTCAAAGAACTACGAGAATGATTTTGTAACTTCGCTCTATAATCCTGATTAATAGCGACAGGTTATGAAAATTAATCAATTTAAACGTGTTTTTCTTTGTAAAACTGCATATTATTATACATAGCTTAATATATGAAAACAAAATATAAAAGTGAATTTTTGAAGTCGTCGTGGCCTTAAAGATAAGACGCCCGGTGCATTCGTGTTGAAGCGATACACCGGTGTTCGAATCCCGCAGGCGGGTACCAATTTTTTTAATGAAATACGTACTTAACAAATGTTCACGATTGACTGCCACGGTGAAGGAATAACATCGTGTAATAAAAATATCAAACCCGCAAAATTATAATTTGCGGAATTACTGGTGGTAGGACCCCTTGTGAGTCCGCGCGGGTGGGTACCACCACCCTGCCTATTTCTACCGTGAAGCATTAATGCGTTTCGTTTTGAAGGGTAGGACAGCCGCTGAAACTGTACTTGAGACCTTAGAACTTATATCTCAAGGTGGGTGGCGCATTTACGTTGTAGATGTCAATGGGCTCCAGTAACCACTTAACACCAGGTGGGCTGTGAGCTCGTCCACCCATCTAAGCAATAAATAAATAAATCTAAACTTCTCCTATAAAATATCTCTCGTTTCGGTGTGCCTTTCGGCAAAGGCCTCTCCTCCAACTCTTTCCACTGCTTTCTGTCTGCTGCTACTCTACCCCAAAGGGGTCCAGAGATAATTTTTAGTTTGTCCTCCCACCTTCTTCAAACGAGGCTTGTGGAAAGTACTCAACGTGCGGTGCGTCGTGCGCGGGCCAATGGACGCGTAGCTTAATTCCACTTCTGTGACCAGAACGACATTATGCGCGCAAATTTGATTGCCAATATATTTGCTATTAATGTTCTGAACAAAACAAAAGATATTTGTTGATGAGACCACTTAATCTAGAAACAATCTAGTTAAACCTTTCTTCACATTTAGTACGTTTTTCTGTGCGAAATATACCCTAAATCCACTTCTGTGGCCCGAACGACATTTTTCGCGCAAAATTTCACATCCTTCAGTCCAGTTATTGAGACGATGACAAAAAAAAGTCGCTTTCGCATTCACGATGCCGGCATGGATGTCTCGTTGCAGTAACAAAGAAGATCATCTTCACCCCCAAACTCGGGAGGAGCGTCGCCAAACCCCAGACGCATGAAAGCCTCGAATTCATCCCCCGGCTCGGAAGGCGGCTCTCTGAGGACATGCCTGCTACGCCAGCTGACCAGGAAATGTAAGTCCATATCTTTGCTTGCTGCATCTATCAGTTCTTTTTGTATATCGGTCCCTCACTGCTGAGGATCGCTACCATATGTGACGTTCATACACAGTGTTCATGGCCGCATGGTACAGACTACCACTAAGTGCTACTCTTACTAGATCTGACTTTTTTTATATTGCTTAGATGGGTGGACGAGGTCACAGCCCACCTGGCGCTAAGTTACTGGAGCCCATAGACATCCACAACGTAAATGCGCCACCCATCTTGAGATATAAGTTCTAAGGTCTCAAGTATAGTTACAACGGCTGCCCCACCCTTCAAACCGAAACGCATTACTGCTTTACGGCGGAAATAGGCGGGGTGGTGGTACCTACCCGTGCGGACTCCCAAGAGGTCCTACCACCAGTAATTACGCAAATTATAATTATGGGGGTTTAATTTTTATTACACGATGTTATTCCTTCACCGTGGAAGTCAATCGTGGACATTTGTTGAGTACGTATTTCATTAGAAAAATTGATACCCACCTGCGGGATTCGAACACCGTTGCATCGCTCAACACGAATGCACCGGACGTCTTTTCCGTTAGACCACGACGACTTGTGGAGAAAGCTTAGCGGTACGCGGCAGCTTAGCTCTGACCCTGGTATTGCTGATGTCCACGAGCGAAGAAACCAATTAAAACGGCACTACCATACACGACTTTTCCAGTTACCAACCTGACCCCGAAGTAATGGAGTCAAGAACAAGATACTTCTCGCCCAGGCTGGGGCGCACCATGAGCTTTTCGCCCAGACTGGGAAGGGAGCTTTCGTACGGTATGTTCAACGTATTACTCACTTTTGTCGTTCGACCGTGAGCTTTATAAACGTGCCAGCGAAAGTTTGTTAACAATAAAAAAAATAAGTGGGAACAAATTCTCGCATGGTCATCCTGACTCAAATTATTTCCTGTGTTATGGATATCAGGGACTGATAAACATACTTTCAAACGTTTATATATATATATATATATATATATATATATAGCAGATAACTAGCGGCCCGCTCCGGCTCCGCTTGGGTCTTTAACAAAAACTCAAACTTTTGTTAGTGTTTAAAGTCTGTGGTCAAATTGAGAATAGATGAATACTGTTTGTCTTTATTATTATTTATGTATAGTGTATTTTTGGCGAAATCTGTGATTATATTGTTTAAGTACACAATAGTATTTGACAATAGAACCATAATAATGTTTAGACATAAAATTTCAATTGATTAAAGTCGAATTTCGACTTCTGCGGGACCACTGGTTCAAATTAACTTATAACTTCTGGACGTTGGATCTATAATAAGCTTTGATCGGTAATCGTTTTTGGTACGACTCTGTTTGGAGGATTTTAAGAGAAACTTCTCGAAGCTTGAACCGCGAAATAGATTTTAAATATTTCGATTCAATCGACCATTACATGAATTTTTTTTCGATTCCAATGATCTGTGGTAATTTTTGATGCTATTTATAGCTAAGACGGGTCGATGAACTCATCCTCCCACCTGGTGTTAAGTGGTAACCAGAGTCCGTAGACAACAACAACCTAAATGCCGCCACCTACCTTGAGATATGAGTTCTAAGGTCTCACTATAGTTACAACGGCTGCCCCGCCCTTCAAACCGAAACGTATTACTGTTTGACGGCAGAAATAGGCAGAGCGGTGGTACCTACCCGTGCGGACCGACAAGACATCCTACCACGAATAAAGAAACCGCTAAAATAAAAATTTTACAAGTGAATACACAGATTACCTTGTCTTTCACAGATTACCCTACAAAATATAGGGTTGCCAGAAGCGTTAACAAGACAATGGACAACTAAACGAATTATGGTCCGCTTGAGGTACCTCATTTGAGGTCTCGATCGACTCCGACGAACGGTTACGGGTAAACGGCGACAATGTTAATGTTTTGGACGAAACAATTGTTAATTAATAAATTCATGTGATTTTGTAATTGTAATTTATAAGTGAATAAAAAAATAAACTATTTAAAATAAATGAGTCATTATTATTATTATTTTAATTTTTACTTTCTCAGCTTGCGCTGGTAGTAGGTACTTTAGTGACATTTACGGACCGCACAAGTAAATGTCACGGTTTCTTGGGGTTGGCTAATTAAGTGTGTTCTACTATTGCATTAAATGGTTGATCATCTATTTGCAGAAACTTTCTTACGATTCTGCACGTGTTTAATATAGCAGCTTTTTGAAGAAGTACGTAGGTGTTAGGTTTCAGGTCAAGGAGCTTCAAACCATGATGTATAACTCGCATTTGGTCTGAAACTCATTGTTCCGAAACCATAACGTGGGGGAACTGTCTTAAAAAATGTTCATGTAGTAATTTCCTATATGTGGTCATATCTGTTTCTAATTTGGTGACGCGATAATTGGTACGCATGATGAATATGTTTACATCTTGTGTCCATCTCATACGTACACGTGGTTTACCAGCCTTAGTGGACGCAGCTAAAAGGGTATTCATCCTCTGCGCAACATCTAAGGCAGGTGTGGCTATAGGTATTGGAGGTCTTGTAGAAACTTCGGATGGAGTATATGATACAGTTGATGGGCTATAAGGTTCTTCTATTGATTGACACGGTGAGCTAATTCTGTCTGCGTTGTCAGTTTGTTGGTCAGAATTCAGGTTGGCTGTAGCATTTTCGAGTGACCCGGAGGGAGCCCGTCTATTCAGCTCCTCTCCGCTGACGGTTCGTCTGCTGCCACACCTAGCGTCAGCTCCAGGTGCGCCCCGGCGATCACCCCCGGGTAGCGGCCCTATACGTTTACTTTTTAAGCGCGTCTCCATATTTAATGGGTTGCCAGAGCCATGTTAGCCGTGCCAGTTGATTCATAGCACGTATCCGCCCCCAACGTGAATCTGATGGTCGATCGAACGTATGGTTGGAACTTCAGGGGGCTTTCTTTTATTATTATTATCATTCTACTATATTTATTTAAAATCTTATTAATTATACAATGTTTTTCAAAAATATTATTAAAAAAACCTAACACGCATGTTTGTATTTGACACATTATTTGACACACACACACACACATATATTACCTACTCTTTTGTATATTGTTAAAGTCTGTTGTCAAATTGAGAATAGATTAATATTGTTTGTCTTCAATATTATTGGCCTTAGCGAAATCTGTGATTATATAAATCTAATAGTCTTTGACAACAGAACCGGAACAATGTTCAAACTTATAATTTCAATTAGTTATAGTCGAATTTCGACTACTGGGCGACCACTAGTTATAATTACTATTATTTTCTTATTGCCTTTCTAGGCAGACGAGCATACGGCCCGCCTGATGGTAAGTGGTCGTACCGTCGCTCATGAATGTCAGCAATGCCACGAGCTGAGCCAAGCCTCTGCCTACCATAAATACGCGCTTAAGTAAACGCTTGCTTAAGACGGTATTCAAGTGAATTCGTGAACGAACTACCCACAACTTTTCATAAAATTCATTCCGGCTTGAGCAGCCGAACGGAGTGGAACTATTTGTTGTTATTGCGAAAGAAAATATTTGAAAAATCAGGCCTTAATTACTGTCACTATGGAAGGCAAGGTTAAAGAACGGACGGTTAGCGTGGTATGGACATGTGATGCGTGGAGAGAAGATGCATGTGACTAGGAGATGTATGGAAACGGTAGTACAAGGTAGAGGGGGAAGAGGTCGACCGAGGAAGACATGGATGGAGTGTGTGAATGACGATATGAGAGAGAGAGAGGAGTGAGTGTTGAGATAACGGCTGATAGAAGAGAATGGAAGAGAAAAATTCGCTGTGCCGACCCCACCTAGTGGGATAAGGTGGAGGAAAAGAAGAAAATGGAAGGCCATGTGGAGGCCATTCGTGAGAATTTATTAAGTACGTATTTCATTAGAAAAATAGACGAAAATTTTTGTCTGCGGGATTCGAACATCGGTGCATCGCTACATACGAATACACGGGACGTCTTATCCTTTAGGCCACGACGACTTCAAATTTCTATTACCTACCAAAAAGTCAATAAGCAACAACCAGCTCTAGATTTTTTTAAATTTTTTTTATTGCATAGATGGGCGGACGATCTCACAGGCCACCTGGTGTTAAATGGTTACAGGAGCCCATAGACATCTACAACGTAAATGCCGCCACCCACCTTGAGATATAAGCTCTAACGTCTCAGTATAGTTACAACGGCTGGCCCACCCTTCAAACCAAAACGCATTACTGCTTCACGGCAGAAATAGACAGGGCGGTGGTACCTACCCATGTGAACTCACAAGAGGTCCTAATCACAAGTAAAAATGTTTGTTGAAGTAATCATAAAACACAAAAAGAAACATATTATATCGTACATACGGTGCGATAAGGTCACATAATAATATGCAAATTATGTAATTTTTCAGGAGAAACGTTGGAAAATTCAATGTCTTATAATCCTTATAAAGTTCTGTTAGGACTATAGAAATAAAATAATATTTCAAACTACAACATTAAACTTCGTCAGTAAAAGCAAACATCTCTCACTAATAACTATTAAAAAATATATTTTCTCATACTGAGTTCAGTGTTAACAAAAATTGCATATGTGACTTTTTAAATCCAATCCACATTCGCTTCCCAATAAATCATTCGGAACAGTAAAATTAATGTAATATAATTTTATAGACCGAAGTTTACGAGTGGTTGCTTGTTTGATGCAATTTTTACAAATAAAATGTTTTTGTATTTATTGTTAATTCAACCGCGTAAGTTTGTTCTTTGAATTCGAATTATACGTACTAAAACATCTATTCAAATTTCATTATACGGATTGTATATACACGATTAATCAAAATCACCTTTTTTTTATTGCCATTGTAGGCAGACGAGCATACGGCCCACCTGATGGTGAGTGGTTACCGTTGCCCATGGACTTCAGCAATGCCAAGGGCAGAGCCAAGCCGCTGCCTACCGCTTAATACTCTCCACAAGCCTCGTTTGAAGAAGGACATGTCAAAGCGCTCGGGAAACACCGTGGAGGGGAGTTCATTCCATAGCCGGATGGTACGTGGCAAAAAAGATCTCTGGAAACGCACTGTGGATGACCGCAGTGGCTCCAGGTAGTATGGATGAACTCTACTCCGGTGGCGGGCGGTGCGTTGGTAAAAACGAGACGTTGGTATCATCTCGAACAATTTCTCCTCTCATTATATATAATATTATTTCAATTCAAAAATCATAACAATTTAGATAATACGCGATTTTAGGTCGTCGTAGCCTAAAGGATAAGACGTCCGGTGCATTCGTATGTAGCGATGCACCGGTGTTCGAATCCCGCAGGCGGGTACTAATTTTTTTCTAATGAAATGCGTACTTAACAAATGTCCACGATTGACTTCCACGGTGAAAGAATAGCATCGTGTAATAAAAATCAAACCTGCAAAATTATAATTCGCTTAATTACTGGTGGTAGGACCTCTTGTGAGTCCGCGCGGGTAGGTACCACCACCCCGCCTGTTTCTGCCGTGAAGCAGTAATGCGTTTCGGTTTGAAGGGCGGAGCAGCCGTTGTAACTATACTGAGACCTTAGAACTTATATCTCAAGGTGGGTGGCGCATTTACGTCGTAGATGTCTATGGGCTCCAGTAAGTACTTCACACTAGGTGGGCTGTGAGCTCGTCCACCCATCAACACACTACTTTTAATTACTATACAGTTTTTAAAATAAAAAGCGTCATATTCTTTCATTGCCCCTATAGGCAGGGTAGGAAATCTATGACGTCATAAATGTCCCAATTTTTCTACAGAGAACACTGATGTGTTGTCGAGGGGCGTGGGATCGAAGTTCCTTATCGCGCGTTGTGAAAGGGGGCTAGACGGAAAAAATTCTTACGAAAAGTTGTCACGACACTTTTTAGATCCGTCATTCTGACCAATCAACGTGTAGGCGCTTATCGCGTGACATTGCTCGTATCCGATTGGTCCGCGCAATGAGTACAGTTTCTCGAGATAGCGTTTCAACAATAGTAATTTAGTTCATAGTATTGTTTTTTTCTTCTTCATAATGCCGTAATTTATTATTATAACTTAAAAAAAAAATTACAGTTCCTTCACTAATTAATCGAAAGGAACTTCGTTCCATCCGGGTGTCCCTTGACACCTCTGAAGTTTTTTTTTTCATTGCCCTAGTGTGCAGACGGGCACACGGCCCACCTATATATACACTAGCGCTATTTCGGTGTGAGTCTTCGAACAATAACTCGTTATTTACAGGTCGACACTTATTCAACTTGTCCTCAAAAACAAGATGGCGCTTCTTACTTCCACCCTCCATGGTTTCGCAGTAAACAATGTAAACGTATAGACGTCGCTTAAATTGAAATGTCGCTTTTCACGGCTCGATACGCTCACGTCTTTGTGTTTCTAGTGCACACGCTATTCGCCGGCGTGCAATCTTATGTTCTATTCGCTGCCAATATAGAAGACTTTCATTCGATAGCCAAGCAGTTCGTTCCGGCGAAACTGGCCGACCAACTCAAAGACATAGCATCGAAAACAGACAAGAAAATGACGATGAGAGAAAGGATACCGGGACGCATGCAAAACGAGGATACGGGCGACGAAACAGATAATAATGATAAACTCAAAATCGACTTCGAAGAGTTAGTCAGAAAAGTAAAAGAGAGAATCCAGAATGATTTAGCTGTGACCGCGTCAAGTGACGTGAAAAAGATAAAAACGTCTCAAGAAACATCCGATTATTCTCACGCAAAAAAACCTAAATTGACGTATGATCATAAAAAAACTCCCAAACGAATACGCACAAACAGCATTATGCAACAGAAACACGATATAAGTAAGATAAAACAAAAGATAACCAAAGAAAAATATGCCCATTCGAATCAGAAGAGAAATCAAGAGCAATATATTCCAA